CTAAAATCAGACACAAGGATTTCCAAAAATATCCACATAATTTTTTTTTATGTCACTTTTTTAAAAATTCGAAAATACATTTTTTAACCAAAAATTTTTTTACACTGTAAATATAATTTTTTTTATCCAAAAAACTGATTTCTCGCATTAAAACAAATTGATTAATCTATATAAAGTTTATATTTTACTTAAAATCTATAAATTATAACATTTTTTAATTTTTGAAAAAAAAAATTTTTTCGTATTTTTAAAAATAACTTTTTTTTTATGAAAATTTTTAATAAATTTTGTCAAAACCGTATTCCTGGCATGAAAACGAATCAATTGATGTATATAAAGTTTATATTTTACCAATATTTGTAAAATTAATCGCTATTTTAGTTGTAATCCTTCTTTTAATCTTGAATATAAGTGTATCATGATGAGGAAGCTAAATGGTCATGAACTGAACATTTATTGTTTTTTATTTCAGGTTTCAGAGGGTTGAAAATAATCAAATTTCATTGATGTGAATTAGAATCCTTAAATTTTATTTTTTCGTTAAATCAACGTTGGTAACTTCAGTTTCATTATTAATATACAAAAATAAAGTACGCAACGTTTATCAACAAAAAATGAGCTAAAAGTTTTGAACGTTCATATGAACGAAATTTTTTTTCAACTTCTTTAAGTACGAATTTTATTACAAAATATTGTTCAAAATATCTAAAAAGAAGTTATTAATTTAATAATTATTTAATTTACTGTTTTATTTAACATAGTCATCATAATTTTTAATAATTTATAGATTGAAAAAAAAATCGGCTAATAACAAAAACATTTTTTTTAAAAAAGTAGATTAATAAAGTTAATATTACAATAAACTTCTTCCCTGCGCAGTGCAATTTGAATTTAGATTCTAATTATGGAGAAAAATTGAAAAAACCATAAATTACATATTAAAAAAAAAAAGAAAACGAAATAAACGATAATTTTAAAAATACGCTATTAATAAATCAATATTTATTATTGTGAGGTGTGTACAAGAGCAGCAATCGATTCTCGTTTAGAATATATATCAGAGAGCCATGTTTGTTGCGGCATGTCAGGCCGCGTGCGAGCTGTGTGCCTTATATATACATACTGATATGATCTCGATATATGCCTTTGTGCATGTATATATATACACCTAGCAAGTAATACAATTTACTTTGTATATGAAGTGATAGGCACAAACATGCGCGCACGTGATTTTCGTTAAAAAGGGGCAACCCCGCCCGGTCGTCCACCGACATAAGTTCGCTGCCCCTTCTTCTTGTTCATCTAATGCCAACCAACCCTTTATATTCAAAACTTTCATTGGGGTAGGTCAAATGCCACTGCACGCTCTAAACCTATCAAACAAGTTTAAAGTAAAACACAGCACTTCAATGGTAAATATATATGATGTATTCCACGCCAAAGTGTAAGTCCATCTGCAATTGCATCTCCGATTTTTTTGAGATTTTTTTTTCTTTTAGTACTAATTGAGACTAGCTTCCATGAAGCCGATAATGGGCAAACAATTTTTACAATATTTTCGGAATTTTTCAAAAATTCTTGAATTTTTTAAAAATATTTTTGATTTTGTTTTATACTATGTACTTTTATGTATTTTAATGCGCTGATTACGAAAATCATAGTGACAATACCCAAAAATTTGATTTTTATGGTGAAAACCATAAAAAAAGTCCTAAAATTTATGGTTTTTTTTCGTTTATTCGGTAAAATATGCAAAATTAAAAAAGATGCATCAGTTATAAAAAATGTATTTTAATAAGATCTATAACTTTTGTTTGAACATATTTTTTTAATTTTGCATATTTTACCTAATAAACGAAAAAAAACCATAAATTTTGGGACTTTTTTTTATGGTTTTCTCCATAAAAATCAAATTTTTGGGTATTGTCACTATGATTTCCGTAATCAGCGCATCAAAATACATAAAAGTACGTAGTATAAAAAAACACCAAAAATATTTTTTAAAAAATTGAAAATTCAAAAATTTTTGAAAAATTCCGAAAATATTGTAAAAATTGTTTGCCCATTATCGGACTAGGCTTAAAAGTTTCGTAAAAAGAAGTAGTTTTTTTGAAAAAATTTTGAAAAAAATCAATCAGTACGTCAAATGAGAAAAATGACTTTTTATCATTAAAACTCAAAAATTTGATAGTAATATCGTATAAAAAAAAAATTTCTTTTTTTTTTGAAACGTACGTTTAAAAATAAACATTTTGAAAAAAAGACTTTTAAAATTGATGCATTTTTAAGGAAGTTATAAGCATTCAAAAATTAAAAGTCATGAAAATTCTCCAATTTTCAAAATTCCATAACTCAAAAACGGCTTGCTAAAAAAATTTGAAAAAATTCATGGAAGCTACTCTCAATTAGTACTAAAAGCAAAAAAAATCGGAATACATCATATATATATATATGCGAAGATAATTTCGTAATTTTTTTACATAAGAAATTTAAAAGGAAAACAAATTTTCTTCAATTAATAAAATTCTTTTAGTTTGTATTATTAATTGTAATTTCGGCACGATAAATTCAAATGAAATAAATTTTTTTCTATGAGCCAAAAGTTATGAACGTTCAAATGAACAAATTTTTTTTTTTGTAACTTCTTTAAGTACGAATTTTATTACAAAATATTGTTTTAAATATCTAAAAAGAAGTTATTAATTTAATATTTGTTTAATTTACTGTTTTATTTTACATTGACATTATAATTTCTACTAATTTATAGATTGCAAAAAATATTTTGTTCATTTGAACGTTCAAAACTTTTGGCTCATTTTTTTCTAGTGATCTTATTAATTTTTTTTTCATGTAAGATTCGACAAATTAGTTATTTAAATTTTACTTTTAAAAAAAGCAAATTTAGCAATACGTATTTGATAATTTAACGCATAATAACTTGTGCACGTGTCACTATCAAAGTTAATCATGCATTGTATCAATCATATCAAATCATGAAAACATTATATATATATTGAACTGAACAGCAAAAATGGAGCAGTGATATAATTTCTGTTTATTGAAAAATAAGTTAATAAATAATAATTTTAAATGAAAATTTCACTGAATGAAAAAAAGAAAATTATGTTAACAAAAAAGTTATTGTCATTATATTAAAAATTATTTTTTTGCAAAAATTGCGAAAAATTTTAACTCGTTAGAGGGATAATGATAATTGAGGAAATAATTTTGTATATAGACTAAACAATTGTTAATGTACGAGGTCGATTGATTTGCAGACACATTACAGAGTAATCTTTTTAAGATAATATAAACATACCCGTCATCTTCATATACCAAAAGAGAGCTTTCAATTTACCAATTTATTTTCTTTCAAATATCATCAAAAAAAAAGAAGCGAAATTGATAATTAAAAATTTTTTTAAACAAATTCATAAATCACAGGAAGAGAACTTTTGATAATAAAATATACGATCAAAGAGAATATATATGAAAAATGTATTCTCGTAAATATTCGCGAGAGTAAACTGTACCGGATATGTACATTATGCAAAATATAGGATCCCATAGAGCGTTAATGAGAGTTCAACGCGCTTTGCATGGTGCATACCTAAGTTATATCGCGATGTTAAATTTACCTACTCTGGTTCATACAAATGAAATCCAAAACCTTTTCCCTTTCTTTTTGACGTTCCGGAATTTACACTTTATTCCTCTCATCTAAATAAAACTAAATTATTCATATTGCCATCACTGACTTTTGAAAATTGATTAAAAATATTCTGACCGTTCATATATGAACACAATTTTTTTTTCTTTTAATCCAATCACACTAAAAGAAATTATTAAATTTTAATTTTTTTTTTTTTCAAAAATTTATTTTTTTCCCTAAACTTTCGTAATATCGAAAAAGTTGAAAATTAGTAAATTTGAAAAGTTATTGTTAAATGTATCTTGTTTATCAAAGACTTGTTTAACATTTTTGGCGAACTTTTAACTGTCCTCAATTAAATGAAGACTATATAAGTGACTTGATATAAAGGGGGGACACTACAGCAATAATGCTAGTGGAGCCGAAAATTAATGACCCAATTAAATACATTTTAAAAAGTAAAAGAACTTTTAAACAATAATTGTTTTAAAAATGAAAAAAAAATTATTCACAAATAACCATGTGAAGCAAATTTAATTCGTTGAGATATATATATATATATATATATATATATATAAAGTTATACAAATTAAATTTGCTGTTAATTCAAAATAATCTTTTTTTTTTTAAAAAAAAAGTGATAACAGTTCCGATAACATCACTTTTAATATTATATAATCACACTATACAAAATATCTAAATTAAAAAGCAGATATTTTGATTGTTACAAAAATAATCTATATCACAGAAAATTAAACAAAATACACTTTTCTCATGTCTTATAAAAATAAAAAAATAAATAACAACACTTAATTTACAACATTGTGACAATTGAAATTTTTTAATTAAAAATTGAAAATCAAAATAACCTTTAAAATTGACAATTTTCAAACTATGATTTAATCAAAAATCAAGTTACGTTAAATTAGCATTCAATTATTAAATAAAAAATGTAATAATTAATAGTTTAAGGAAGTTTAATTAACACAACACATAAATATATAACTACAAAGTTCAAAAGTTTACTGTCTTTCTTTTCAACTATATTTATTTACAAAGAAGAGCTGAATGGAATCAGTATTTTTGATTCTAGAAAAATTTTTTTTAAATTAAATCACAATACAAAAAACTTAATTGTGTATTTATAATTCATGTGTTTGAAAAATGTTACTATTTTTTAAAGAAAATGACTAATATTCGAAATACAAAAAAAAGAACTATACAGTTTAAATGAAAGTTTGTTTCTTTTATCAATAAAATGAATCATTGTCCGCACTTTTAGTGTAAATATACAATATGCAAATGAACATATGCACTTGTAGATGCAAGAACGGGAGATTTATTTTACCTTGGTATAGTGATGCACTTGGTGTTGCAACTTTGTGTGGTGATAGCCTTCTCGAGTTCCTCGAGACCAGCTGACTTTTTGAGCTTCTTCACGAGGCTCTTAACGGCCTTCTCGCTCCATTTGTCCTCGCCCTCGGCTTTCTTCCAGCCCAGCAGCCGCTTCACAATAGGTGGATTAAAGCTGGACAGCATCGAAGTCATCATTTGCACTCGGCGAAACTCTTGCGACCCGCATTGGGCCGCCCTAACGAATCGCGTAATTAAACGCGCCTCTTCGACCTCTCACAACACTTACGTTATCCTTTAACAGTCACCACTGACAGGTCTATCACTTTGATTTCAACCGTCAAAATGACGCGAATTCCTTACACGGTGAGCAAAAACTTTGCACATCAGCCATATTGTTCCCTGACCTTTCGCGTTTCATCGACCGCATTCGGTACTCTCCGCCAATTTTCGACACCCCCAGAAAATCTTTTTTTTTTTTTCCCTTTTCAAGAAATGATAATTAACTTTTTTTTATAAATATATTCACATTATGTATTTTTGTGTTAATAGTGGTAAAAAGATCTCTAATATAGGTAAGGAATCCTTAACCTCAAAATTAAATTTCAACTATTTTACATGTTTCAAACAAATTTTTTTTGTCACTAAAACATTTATTATCAATTTTCAATTAAAACTTTTTAATGGAATGTTAATTTAGAAATTTTCGGGAAATCAAATTAAAAACACAACAAATAGACAATTGACAGATTAAAGGTGCATTTACATAGACGGAATTTGATAAATATGAGGGAGCCACGAGTATGGCGGGAGATTCAAAATTGAAATCAAAAATAATTGTTCTTTTACGTAATATACATAAAAAAAAAAAATTACTTTAATCTTTACAAATCTATTTATATAAAATTGAAACTTTTCTTTTGATTATTTTTACAAATATACAAAATTAATTAAGAAAATTGATTACAATAGAAAAAATATTTAATTCATGATTGGTGGACAAGTTTACAATACTGGACAAATAAGTATCAATTGACTAATCAAATCAACTGTAAATTAAAATACAGGAGAAATTAATGTAATATGGCTACGTTGGTTCGTTTTTCACATGTTTGACAGTTTATGAAAAAATTGATTATTCACGTTCAACAAGTTTTTATTACTCCTTTAAACTAAAACTAGTTATTATAAAATTAAAACCCAAGTATTTTCCAATTATTGATATAAATATTTGTTTTTCATCAATGGACGTCTAACCCAATCATATATTTAGAAACCGTTAGAAATTTCCGTTGTATACGCTTTTTAAACGTTCTAGGCACATTTGTCATTTTACGTGCGGAAACCACTCCCGTGGTGTGAGCGGCATTTTTGCAAAAATTTGGTGAGTTTTTCATTGTATTTTAGTTATTTTTATTACGATTCATCTTATTTCGAGACACGCTTTCTTATAATCATTCAAGTTTTATAAATAAAATTCTTCACTAACAACCTCTAACAAATTGACTTTTAAGATCATTTTCTTAGAGTTACCGTGTTCTAGAAAAGGTAAATAGATTTCTTACCACGTTTTTAGATGTTAAATATTATTGAGGTTTCCATTATTTGCTTCTTAGGTCAATTTTTGTTTCACACTTTGTGAGGTTAGAAGTGATTCTTTGTAAGATTTTTTTTTCCCTCGTGTACATATATATATATATATATATATTATATTCGACTAAAGACATCGAAATTAATAAACGGTATTTTTGTTTTCTAAAGTGACTGATAATTATCAAATAAAGAAATCAGGATGGCTGTAAACGTTTATGCGACAAATGTAACGACGGAGAATCTCAGTCGACATGATATGCTAGCATGGGTCAATGATTGCCTTCAGTCATCATTTACCAAAATCGAGGAACTCTGTACCGGCGCAGCGTACTGCCAATTTATGGACATGCTTTTCCCTGGAAGCGTTCCGCTCAAACGAGTTAAATACAGAACCAATTTAGAACACGAATACATACAAAATTTCAAAATACTCCAAGGTGGCTTTAAAAAGATGAATGTAGATAAGGTATGTCTTTTATTTACAAACAAAATTTTATATTCAATTAACACAATAACCACTCGATGACAAATGTTTGGAGAGTTTTAAATTTTTATATATATATATATATATATATATATATAATATAATTATATTTAAATGTTAATTGTATTTTCTAGAAGAGAAAAGAATTTTGTATTAATTTATTCTTTCTCAATGATAAAAAATCTTATTTTCATCGAAAAAAAATAACAAAATAGTTAATTTATTATTATTAAAAATAATTCTTTTTTAGATGAAGGGATTTAAAATAAGTCCGTAAATTAATTTTAAATAAATGTAAATGTTTCTCAATTTTTCATAAAATATAAATTTTATTAATTTTCTAATATTTTGTATACATACATAAAAACTCGGATTTTTTTTTTTAATTTGTAATAGTTTTTTTATTAATCAATGAAAAAAAATTTAATTTTAAAATTCATGGTTCATTTGAAAGTTAAATGATTTCGAGATTAAAAATAAAAATTAATGGTAAATTTCAGGTTTTCAAGGTCGCTAACCACACAATTTAGCTTTAAAATTTGAATAATTTTTTTTTTTTAAACTATTTAAAGTGAATTAAATATTTAATTCGAGTGCAAAACTAAACTAATTTAAGGTGATACCAGTGGACAAACTGATAAAAGGTCGATTTCAAGACAACTTTGAATTTCTCCAATGGTTTAAGAAGTTTTTTGACGCAAATTATGACGGCCGAGAGTACGACGCGTTGGGTGCTCGCGGTTACATTCAATTGGGTTCATTTATGGGTGGAAATCATAATCTTTCGAACCCACAGTTGGTTCCTCTACCAACTCAGCCGAAACCTTCTCAAATGCTACCAAAAAGCAGAGTTTCAATGCATCAACAGGGTACTTTTTTTTTTAAAAAAAGACTCAAATTGATTTCATTGTCGCATGATATATAATATTTAATAGTTCACTGTACAAAAAAAAATGCATTTGTTTTATATCACAATTTTATTTATCTTGTAGATCTATATTCTTGTTTTCACAATTTTTCAAAATATGCAAACAATATTTTAGAATATAGATTTATGTACAGACTTTTTTTGCACAATCTCTTTTTTTTCATTTGGGAGATTAATCGAGAAACTGAAAATTACGTTTATCAGTGACAAAAATTTAGTTTGTCATCTAAATTCGAAAGAAAAAATAATTTCTTAGACTTATATACAAATTACAAAAGATTTTCGAATTTTCAAGAATAGGGCATTCTCATAATTTTATTTTGAACAAATAATTTGAAAAAAAACTATTTTGAGCATAAATTAAAGAATTAAAAATTTCATTTATATATATTAATCATTCAAATTAAAAAACCAGTAAAAGTAACTTTAAAATTTAATTTAATATTTTTGCTATTTATTCTCTATTGCTACTTATTATTCATTGACAATAAATTAAGTAGAATTTTATTCTACCACTGCCTTTTGATCGTTTTTTTATTCATATTATTCATTAACTATAAAATTCAATACAAAAAAACGCTAACCAAAATTTTAGTATGAATTTTTGTGTTCATTTCACGAACACTTTGCTTTCTCGTTGAGAGTTTCTTTATTTATAAAGCATAAAAATTCCATAAAAATATCAAGTTACAGAGGTAAATTTAATTTTAAAAAAATCAAGTCGCATAATTAAAAAATAAATAAATCGATGCAATTTTTAAGTGTATGTAACGTAGTAACGATATATTAGAGTTTAAAAAAGAAAAATAATTTATATTTTCTAAATTTGGAAAAAAAGTGAAAATTTTTTTAAAGAATATTCTGTTTTTTAATTTGAAAAAAATAATATAAAAAATTGTTTAATTTTAATTTATATTAAAAATAAATTCTTTTTATTTGTTCAAAATTGGTACAAGGTTCTATCCCAAAAATTCAAAATGTGAATGAAATTATAAATAAAAATTCTTTCAAAATTAAATTTTAATAAACATACAATATTAATTTGCTGTAACTTCAAAAATTATTTATCTATATTAAAAAAATGTATTTTCTTGTTTCAAGATATAATCTTTAATGGAATTATATTAGTTAAATTACACAGCGTACTGTAAAAATAGTTGCTTATTGCAAAGAAAATCTTAGAAAAGTTATCTCACTTAGATTAGAAAATCAAAGAATATGGTTCATATCATTAGTTTTCAAATATTTTCCATTGACTTTATTTTATGTAAATATATATCTAAATTTATTTCATAAAAGAAAGTTATAAAGATTCGTTAATTTTATATATTTTCTCTATTTTTATTATTTCGAATTCTTTGTTTCCTTTGCCGTTACCCTGATGAAAAACATTCGAACCCCAGTGCAAGTAAGATAACAATTCAAATTCTTTTTGAAAAATTGAAGTGAATTTACCATTTTTCAAGAAATTAGTTATTATAATTTATTGAACGATAAATTATTTTTAGTTTATAAATCCTCTCCAAGTATTTCATTATATGTATATGGGGGAATTATTTTCGAAAAAATTTTTTTATTTTATTTTCTTCTGTATTTGTTCCTCTCACCTATAATTTACAGATTGTACCAATCGATAAGCTGGTGAAAGGGCGATTCCAAGACAACTTTGAGTTTTTGCAGTGGTTTAAGAAGTTTTTTGACGCAAATAATGCAGGATCAGAATCCTATGATGCACTTGCAATGAGAGGAGGAGAAGCAATGGGTAGCGGTGGTCATAATGCACCACGTGGTACTGGAATTGTCAAAAGAACAACAACCCCTCGTGAAATATCAGCTAAACCTGCCTCTCGAACTGGTACACATCCCTTATAATCCATGATCCTTGTTTTTTTGTTTTTTTTTAAACAAACGCTCTTGTTTGGGTGCCTATGAATTTCGCGCATTTAACACAATTTTTTTTTTTAATTAACATTTACTTAATTTTTTTTTAGTATACGTGAAAATTAACTTTGCACAGACGTGAATTTTTGATACTTTTTTTAATTTACTAAAATTTAGTAGATTAATTTTCTTTGATGAGATTTATTAAATTTTTCATTTTACTTCATTATTTATTTATATTGTTTAAGTATTGTTATAATTATTATTTTCTATTTAAAAAGTTGAAGTTAATTTAATTATTATCGTGTTTATCAGTTTTTGGGCTTTTTAAAATATTTAACGGGACTGTTTTTTTTTTTTTACTTGATTTGTTTTTGTAATTTTATTAACACAAAATTGAATTTATGCTCATAGGTGAGGGACCACCGTCTCCAATTCATGTGCCTATCATGAAGTCCGTAGGCCGATCTTGTAATTAATATTTTTATTTTTTTAAACTGTTTTATTTTTTTTTTATTACAAAAAAAACTTTCCGTTCTTTATGCCTGATAATTTTTTAATGAGTATGAACCTTTTCTGTCCTGTGGGTAGTTATAAATTAATAATCATAAAATTTGTATTAATATTTCTCATTAAAATGATTTGCTAACTAAAATTTAAGGTGACTGGTCAATCCTCTGGAATAAATTCTAATTTTCACAATTTATATATAAACTAAATCATCATAACTTCTGCATGTTATCTTCTGTACAATATATTATAAATATTAATTTTTATATTAATGTTATGTCTTTAAAAATATTCAAATTTTTTTACTATATCGTAGTTAGGTAATTTAATTGTTTATGCACTGAAAACACATTTTCATTTATTTTCTTTCATGTTAATGTATAGAATAATATATTTTTATAATAATTGGTATTAGTAAAATTATTGGTAATATGTAGCTTAATATTTATTATTTCTTTAAGCATTATTGGTATTTGATTTTACTCAATAATTATTATTGTTATCAATAATTTATTTTTTCAATAAATTTACAGTGAATAAAGTACCAACAAGTCGTCCTGTACCAAAGACTGGAACAGTTGGAAATCGTGGAGATACGGGGAAAGTAGATGAACTTAGTTCACAGGTAATATTTTCTTTTTATACAATTTTTAATAAATTATATTATTTCTCAATAAAAATTAATTATCTTTTTAAATTTTTTTTTAATAAAAAATGAAAAAACTATATTATACAAAATTTAATGTAAAATATTTTGAAATTAAAAAATGTACACTTAAGGAACACAAAATATTCTAACTTGCATAATTAACAAGATTATGGTGAATAATGTGATTTTTAATTTAATTTGTTTGACATTTATCTTAGGTAATGGAATTGAAAATGACTGTTGATGGTCTCGAAAAGGAGAGAGACTTTTACTTTGGAAAGCTGAGAGAAATCGAACTTATGTGCCAAGAACCAGAAAGTGAAGAACCCTCTCCAATTGTGCGAAAAATTCTAGATGTTCTTTATGCAACTGAGGTAAAAATTTATTTATTTTTTTATTTCATAAATTATACAAAAAACATTTTTCACTTTTTTTAAAAATATTTTAATTGTCCCAATTTTTTTTGCTTTTGTAAATAATGTATTATTTACATATACCTATATATACTTTAATACGAAGTTAATCTAATTAAGTATTGCAGCTTTAGATTTATGCTATATGTGTTAAGGTTGCTAAACTAATATTTATAAATAATTGAGCTGCCGGATCAAAGAAGGGCACATAACTAATGTATTTTAAATGGGTTATGTGCCCTTCTTTGATCCGGCAGCTCAATTATTTCCGTCTTTACAATTAGCTTATATTTTTAAATTAGACGCATTAATAAATGCGTTTATCAAGAAGATAAAAAAAATTGTTTCGTTGAAAAAAATTTTTTTTTAATTATGTTATTTTTTATTTGAAAAATTGTAATTATTAAATAATGCGGAAAAATTATATTAAATTATAATTATTTAAAACTATATTTTTATGAAAAATGATTCATCAGAGAGTCAATTGAGTTGGAGAAAATTTTCGTTTTTAAAAGTTTCTCGAAAATATAATGTTTTCAGGACGATGGAATTGGACAGGAGTGTGATGATCAGACGTTTTAAATACTACTCAATTGTCTTTTTTCTGTTTATATATATAAAAAAAAAAATAAAGGTAACATTATTTGGCAAATTTTTTTTTTTTTATGTTTTTGTTCGTAGTATTTGAATTCTTGGGATTGTTCAAATTAATTTATCTGAATTTTCAAAAAAAAATTTGATATTTTATAAAAATATACTAGGTAACGATTTTTTTTTATAATGTTTCTGAATTATAAGCAAAAGCAGGGCAATTTTTTTCATTACAACATATGTTGAAACAAAACTCTTTAAAATTACAAAAAGGGAAATCAAGATTTATACACTTTACAGATTTATTTACTAAAATTTAATTTGCTTAAAAAAATATTTTGAGTTTTTATGATAAAATTTTATGTTTTTTATGTTATTTAATGTTTAGTTTTTGATTTACGCTTTTGTGTTGCTTACTTTTTGTTGTTTGTCATATGAGCATGATTTGTTTGTTTTCGTCCTATAATTATCTTCAAAAAAATATATTCTTTTTAAAACCTAATTAATTATGAATTTTATTCGAAACTTGTTTTTTATATTAAAAATATAGAGTAGAGAATTTCGAAATTTAAATATAAAAAAAATAGTTTTTATATTTATAAAAAATACTACTTATATTATAAAAATTGAAGCATTTTTTAAAAGTATATTTTTCAGGTTTAAACATTTTGAATTTAAAATTATAAAGAAGTAAAATATTTAAAAAGTTTCAATATTTTTGAATTGAAAAAATAATTCTTCGCTTTGATATTCAAAATGAAATCGAATTTGTTGCAATTGAAATTTTATAAAAACGGATAAAATTTTAAAATACATTTTCGTATTTTTAGGATGGTTTCGCACCACCTGAAGAGCTAGAGGGACACGGACATGATGACGAGGAAGAATATTAACTATAGTGTTTAAAAGAAAAAAAAATTCAAATTTTCATGAAACAGAAGTAATTAAGACAAGAATGTTTAAAAAAAACACTATGCCTCTGCGCTAGTATCAGTACACCTTGCATTATTAGTCCGCTATTTTTACATAGCTCACTATTAAGCGTTTGTGCGTATTTTTTTTTCTCTTTCTCAATATTATTGTTACAAAGTTTATTATTGATTTTTGTCTTGAATCTCCACGAAAATTTTGTTTGATTTATCGAAAAGAAAAGAAAAAACGCCATATACGCTAAAAAAGAAATTCGACGAAAAAAAATAAATTTTTTTTTTTGTCAACTAATAACTTCTTTATTGAAGTCCAAAGCACTCGAAAAGAAAAGTTATATTTTGATTAATATTTTCTGTTTAATTGCAATCGATGACTTAATATTTAAGGACGACAAAATAATTGAATGCAAAAAAAAAAGAAAAAATGTAGTGGAGTGTTTTCTAAATTCTTATTGTGTTTAAATGTGCGAGTGTTAATCTTTTTTAATATACCTTTGTATCGATACTATCATCTTGTAAAATAAAGTTTTTAGTTTTGGTTCTAAATATGATTTGCTGAACGAATCGAGCATGATTGATATTTGCAATTTTTAGTGCGCTACATTTTTAGAATATTTTTTTTTCTTCTATTTATTCATAATTTGAACACAGGACACTTTTGTCATTTAATCTCATTGATAGTGAGAAGTTTTACTCAAAGAAAAAAAATCACATATTTTATAAATGTAAATTATATAATTCTTTTTTTTCGATTCTACGTGAAGCTGTTACACTCTAAGGGCCGTGTTAACTAATTGTAAATCTGCAATTATAGCTTGACTATTTCATTTTCACTTTTGGACCATTCCATTTATTTTTATTTTTCACTTCTTATATTTAAAAGAAAAACATCAAGTTTATAGTTCGAATGTGAATTAAATAAATAAAATCTGTTTTTAATTCTTCAATAAAATTTTTGATAGCTCAAATTTTAAAATTTAAATGTTTTATAAATATTTCATAAAGCTCTTCTATATAGACAATTAATAAACTTTCTTAAAGACTTTCATAATAATTTTTTAAACTTAAATATTGTATAGTCAAATATTGATAAATCTCTTTCTCAAAAAAGGCCTAGTTTTTACAAATAAAATAATCAATAATTACAAAATATGGAAAATAATGGAATGATCCTTAAGGATATCAGAAATTAGTTTTCTCCTCCAAAAACTAGAATTCAAAAAAAAAACAAAAAAATTATTAGGTCCACGAGTGCTCTGAATTTTGACCCTTGAGAAGGCGAGGTTGTCATTGAGAATTTTTCAAAAATCTCACGAGATGAAAAAATAAATGTTGATCACATGCAACAATGATGTAATTATTTTAATATTAGTGTCTTGTGTCACATTACAATGGTTTAAAATATGTTTATAATTTTAAAAATCAAAATGCACTGTTTTTTTTCGATATCTAATAAAAAAATTTTAATCTAGAATATAAAATGTTATAAAATTTTTAAATTATTAATTAATTAAATTTTTTTAAATATAATATTCTCAATATAAAAGAATTTTAAATTACAAAGAAACTTGTGTTAAATGTTTAATAAAAAAATTCAAATAATTTATAAAGTTTAAAAAAAGTTTTTATAGAGATAAACATGTTTTTTAATGCTAAAGTTTGAAAAGAAAAAACATTTAGTGCATTTTATTTTCAAATTTGAAAAAATTTTACACCACTGTAGTGTCGCATTCTCAAGATCAATGGTTTGGAGTGAAAGTGACCTTATGGATTACTGAGATGATTATTATTGAAAAGAATTTCAAACTGTTGATAAAAAATATTCTGTGAAAAGTTTAAAAATTGTAGCATTTAAACGAATGTAATATTATATATATATATATAACATATAAGAAAAAAAATCTGGGGGAGAAAAAAAAATGGGGGAAAATTCTATATATAGAAACAATAGCGTATCTCAAATTCTTTGTTGTAACTAGAAAATGGATTTCCATTTGAATGACTTCGTCAACGTTATAAACTTGTTTTGTTTGCCCTAAGAAATCTACAAAGTAAACTGTTACGCTGGTTGAATTATTTTTTCATTTTATTTATTTTTTTAAAACATTTTCTTCATGCGAAAAAAATAAAAATTTCATATACATATATATAAATATTATATACCTATAGCTTTTATTGGGCCAGTGTAACAAGGTCGATATTGTGACCTTTGTGCGATGAAAGCGAGAGCGATAGAATAATTCAAGTTTTTAATTGACGATGTATCTAATTCAACATTGAATAAAGTCACAATGAAAGTAAAAAAAAATAATAATAAATAAGGTCGTAATTTTCTAGCGCCTTATAATTAATTTTAAAGTTACATTGAAATAAGAATGATTAATTTACGATTTAACTGTTAATTAATAAATAAGTAAATGAATAATTCTTTTTCGGAAATTCAGTTCATTTTTTCCAGTATTTATGTGATGACATTTGAAAATAGAGAATTTAATTCATTTTCTTGTGATTTGAGATGAAAAAATAATTTATAAATGTTAAAAATTGAATATTAATTAACGCTAATTTTTTATTGCAGGGTATTTCTGGTATGTTTTGAAAGAAAAATTTGCGGGCAACAAAATGATTAAGTGACGTCCCTGATCTCTCAAAGTGTAAAAGCTTTACTTTCAGTTTCACGTCGTCGGGCGACTTGATGGATTGTCTGTAATTTGCTTTCGCATTTCAAGTGTCAGTGTTTGTTCAAGAACTCAAGAAATTTACCATTAAAAGTGTCCAAAGATTTGTAAGTAATATTTTCCAATTTTGAATTTCACGTGAACAATATTTTTTTTTTTTTAATTTCAAATAAATTTTTATATACGAACTAATAATTTTAACGATTTAACTTAAATGCTTAATTATTAATTTTTATAATTTTGAATCAGCATTAAGTAATTTTTTGAAAAATAGATTCAAAAAGAGCGTATTTTGAACAGTTAAATTTTTAAAAAATATTTTTTTTAATTGATTTAATTTTTATTAATATTGTGTAGATTTTTCAATAAATATAAAATTTAATGATTGAGCGAAGAAAATTTTATTGAGGTAAATTCATAAGAACTTGAAAATTATTACTTTTCTTACTCATCTGTAAACATCTGAATTGATCTTCGTTTAACCTTTGGGTTCAAAAACAGGCGCGAGAATAATTCAAAATATTATTGCAATAAATTGTGTGAATTATTTAATATATAGAATTGATAAATGAATCGAGTAAATTATAAAAATAATTTATGGATACGCAAATTTTGTTTTCAAATAAAAATAGTTTATGTGAAAATTATAATTGAAAATACAATTTACTATCTGTGAGAAAAAGAAATTGGAGAATGAAAAGAAAAATTTATACATTCATTCAATTTAAATTTTAATTTAATGAAATTAATAAAAATAAAATTCGATTTTAGATGAATTTTTATTCAGATGATATAATCAATTTGAGTTTAGAAAAATAATTTTAAAAATATGTTCGGTTTTTCTTCATCGTGAAAAATATTTTATTAAAGATACGAGGATCGGTCAATAGGACCTGGACTACGGGTAAAAGAGAAATATGATAACAACTACCAGTAAACATCTCAATAATGATAAGAAATTGACAGAGAAACTAATTAACAAAGAAATGACAATAAAAATCTAATTTATTGTATAAAATAAGAGAATATTAACATATTGTTACCAAAATAATAGAAATCATTTAATTAAAAAAAATTCCATAATTTATAGTTTATAATTTTAATTTAAATTTTCATTCAATTTAAAATTGAATTATTATTAAGTAATTAAATTATTATTTAATTTAATAATAGTAGAATTTTATCCTTAGAATGAAATCGAATTTAAAGGTCAAAAACTCTATTAGAAATATTTTCTTTTTTTGTAAAATTTTGCATAATTTTTTTTTTTACGCGCTGTTATGGGACTTGGCATTACGGTGATACGACGAGGTCGTGCCTTTAAGATATACATTATCGACGCCCCTTTTCTTATTGTTTATTTATCACTGACTCACTAGTTCTTTATAAACAGACACTTAATTTAGCAAGGTGTTGAAAAGTTTTCCTTATTTTCAAAAATTTCCTTTCTCACATTTGTGAAATATAATTCTCAAAATGTATTTTAATATTAGAAAATAAAATTTAATTTCAGGTGAATTTTCATGTACAGATATTAGATTAATTTTATTCTTCTCGTTAAAAAAATTTTAATAAAATTAAATTTAAAAAAAAATTTTTTTAAAAAGAAAAAAAAAATCTTTTTTTCTTTTGTACAGAAATTTTCAAAAATTACCGAATGCACTGTTGGAAATACAATAATTTCTAGTATGGAATCATTTGCGAAGATACCTCTTGGACAAACTACTTTAAAATTGATAGATCGTGTTTTATGGGTGGTTGAAAAATCAGTCCAATGGAGCCTTCCCGTTCAAGAAGCTTCGTCAGGTTTAATCAATTTTTTCATTAATTTTATTAAATTATTTTTTTTTTGTATTTAAAAACCTCATGTGTTAGAAAATTTATTGAATTCTTAAATTGATAAAAATTTCAAATTTTTTACTAAATTCATTCAATTTTGATAAATCAATTAAATTATAAATACCGAGTTACAAGAAAAATTGTGCTGCAGTTTAAAGTATGCTTTTTTTACAAATCTAAGAGAATGGAAAATATCGAATTTTTTTTACTGGAAATATTTTTGTTAAAATTATTACATATTTTCTCTTTAGATGAAAATGGAAAAACATTCGGTGAAGTCGAACTTGTGAGGCCGCTTCCATGGATCCTCTTTTTACCTGGACTAATTTTATTACGAGCAGTAAGGATTGCACTTAACGTAGGTGCTTTTGTCTGTGGATATCCACTAATTCAGCCCAGTGGAATAGTAAGAAATTATTATTATTATTTTATTAAAAATTCTTAAAATTATTATTTAAATTTTTTTTAAATATATCAACTGACAATCAAAACAAAAATTATGTCCATTTTTAAATTCTCGTTTTTCGTGATTTTTTAATTTTTTATAATTTGGAAATTAAAACATTATATAAGGAAAAAACAGACGGACATTTAAGACAAAAATTATGTCGATTTTTACATTTTCGTTTTTTGATTTTTTATAATTTGAAAACTAAAAAATTATATACGGAAAAATCAAACAGACATTTAAGACAAAAATTATATCCAATTTCACATTTTCGTTTTTTTGAAATAAAAAAATTTTTTTTTTAATATTATAACGATGCTGAAATTCACAACGTTTATAATTAACCACTTTTAATGAAATATTTGTTTTTCGAATGAAAAATTCTATGAATTTTTGTCTAAAAGATATTTTTTGCAATTTCTATTGATCAACAAATTGTAAAAAAAAAAAAACAGTTTTTAGACAAAAAATTTTATAATTTCCTGCCCTAAAAAATAATTTGTTTTCTAATTGTTGATCATAAATTTTTCCATCGTTTTATTTTCAACAATTTGAATCGATTAAAAGTTGCATTTAGAATAAAATATTAAAAATTTCTCTTTGAGAAACGATGATTTGTTAAATTTTAAGTTATGTTGTATTTAAATTGTTTTATTGTAATTATTTATAAAAAAAAATTTTTTTTAATTATTTCAGGTAAAATACGTTCAAAAGCGCAGAAGGCAGCTGAGGACAATAAAAAATAATGGTTTGAAGAGTATGCGTATCCAAAAAGAGATAACAGATCAGGTAAGATCGAATATTATTTGTATATATGATGCGAGCATGTCATATTTATTGAAATTCGTGTGATTAGACTACTTTTTAAAAGAAAAAAAAAAAAAAAAAAAAAAAATTAAAATAAAACACTAACGACAATCTCGCATGCGACGTCGAATCTACCATCAGGAATCTTTAAGTCCTTGAATGTTTCCGAACAAATGAAAAAACAAAAAGCTCGATAAATCGTGGTGATGGGTGTATAGGACAAGGTGGTGGCAAAGAACGATGCCAGGAAGAGTCTAATAAAGTCGATCCAGTTGACACTGTCCACTCTCTCATGTCTCGATGGCTACAGGAATTCACCATCGCCGCCTCCGACAAGAATCCAGGTTTCCAACAATTTCGATCTAGTGAGTATCATAGTGATTTTTTTTTTGACTTTAACACATTTGTCTTCAAAACAAATCAGTTCATTTTAGGAAGATTCAAATCAGGAAACAATTCCAATAAGAAGAATGAGTGGACTTATCTAGATTTTCGTGGATCATTGACGATTACACACAATTTTGGATTAATGACAAAGCAATAAGAGGGAGGAGATAAGTTGTTTTAAAATCGAAGCTGATTCTTTTTTTTCTCTATAATAATTTGTTTAATATTTGTTCTTCTTTTAGTTATTAGTTATTTAAGTTTGTTAATTAAAAATTTTGTCATTTGTTTTGTCTTGAGATTTTCTTGTAGTTGTTTCGTTTTATGTATAAATGTAATAAATCCAGATATATGGAAATAATAATAATCGTAGACGATCAAGAAATTATTATTCCTGACATGTGGAAAATTGGCATTTTTTTTTTTTTTTATATCAAACATCTATCTTGTAGTTCTTGATAAAAATAGAGCTGGGTTAGAGTTTGATAAGAATTTGAAGTCTACCAGTTTGTCTGAAGAGAGTATCATAATTATAAGTTCGCATGTAAAATGCTGATAACGAATCTTTTAATCATGTGCGACAATTTTGAAATTTTCTTTTCATTCATGCTAACTTTAATTAATAGCAATGACAATAATTGAAACTTTATATAAAAGTTAAACGAATTTTGTTTCATTTTTAAATGAATTTTTTCAAAATAATGAAATTAGTGTTTTGTAAGGAAAATTTCAAAATTCTCCAATGCAATATGATTTTATTATTTTGAATTTCAATAAATTGGCTATAGATTTTTTTTTTCTTTTCAGGTGCCAGTATCAATTGAAGAGAATTCAACAATTGAATCGACCAACAGTCCTAATCGTTCTGATTCGAAACGTAAATTTTTTGAGGTTGAGGCTGCTTCGACTGATGATGACGATGATGGTAGTGAATCCGAGGATGAAACTCTCACATCTCAAATTGAACGTTTAGCTCTTGAAAAAAGCATTGATGATCCAGATTTCAATGTGAGTTATTTATTTACGATTTTTCTGAAAAAAAGAGAAATATATTTTTTTTATATTTATTATTATTATTCTATTCTTATTTTTTATTATTTATTCATTTTTTTAACTGTGTAAAAGATTATCAGTTACTTATTTGATATTTCTTTCCTTCTTTTAATTCTCTATTGGATCGATGAGAACTATAATTGCATTTGATTAAAAGAAATTAATTTGAAAAGAAGAATGAATAAAATCAAGTTCATTTAAATATTTATTATTGAATAAACTCGTCATGAGCGCAAGCTTGATGGATTTAAGGTCTTGCATATTTAATAATATATGCAACTCGTAAACTTATAACAAGAAAACCTTGAGACTTGACCCTTCTTGGACAGATAGCCTGGTTACTCTTTGATACGCAGTCTGCTTCACTTATATTTTTAGTATATTAAAAAAAAATAGTTTGTTATATGAGGTAATGAGTCATTTGACGCCTCAAATAATAATTATTAATATTAAAATATCTAATTCACACTAACATGAAATTTAAAAAAAAATTTTTCATTATTTACTAAAAAAAAAATAAAAAAATTTTTTTTCATATTTTTTTAAAAAATTTATATTTAATATAATTAAAATTATCGACTTGTAAGATTAAAAAATTACAAATTAGAAGTAGTGTTAATATGATTTATTTAAAATATTGTATATATGAGATTACGAAGACGGATTGCATATTGAAATATTAGTGAAAAGAAAAATGTAAATGAGATGGTACAAAGTTTACTAAATGAAAATTAAAGATAATTAAAGACTAAAAAAATTAATTTTCCTATCGACTTATCGTATTAAATAATCGTTTTAAATTATACATATACTTTTTTCAATAATCTCCGAAAAAAAACGAACAGTTTATTTAAAAAAAAAAAAAAAAAAAATAGTAAATCCTATAATTAAATAATTATTATGCCAAAGATGGTTTTTCAGTAGTTTGTCATTTTTTCAGCCCGATGCATTATCGTTGAGTGATGCAACAGACGCAAGTTTCGAGGATGAAGTTTCTATAACAGAAGCAAAAGAACTTATGGCGGATGCAAAAAAAGACTTGAAACTAATTCAACTACAAAATTCTGAACAATCAGAACAAAAGGAGAAACCAATTTCTGATGAGGTAAAAAATTGATAACTTTTGATTTTTTATAAGTCGGGGGGAAAGAAAAATATATTACAATTTAAATAAATACAAATAAATAAACTAAGAAAAAACAATAAAAAAAAAAATAAAACATAATAAATTTAAAACTAATTTACCATAAAATTGAAAAAAAAGATAAATTACCAGAAAAATTAATTAAATAAAAAAAAAACAGTTTCAAAAATCTCAAGAAATATCTATAGATTTAGAGATTTTTTTAATGATGCAAAGAGAAAAAAAAGAACTAAAAAAATAAGAGTGAATAATAGAAAAAATTTTCTCAGAAATCAAAAGTGATCGTAACGCCCGAAAACTCAGGCAACAATCATGGGGTTGAAGCCCTCGATGGACAAGAAAATTATTATTCGCCGGTCAATTTTGGAACAGATGGGGAATTGGCCTTTTATTCTCCAATCAGCTCGAAAAGCGTTTCACCAGAACGATCAAATTCCCCCATTAAACGTGAGTGTCCTTTCACACGAGCGTTTTAATTACTGCTATCATTTACGAGGCGCCACCGCACATAAATGATAAAATTTAATTCTCTTTGGCTAATGATTGACAAGTTATATACGCCAATGATCTTTGACCTCGAATATTTTATTTGCCACAAAACGTTAGGAAATCACTAGAACAATCATTATTTTATATTAGTATAAAGTGCATTGTCTTCATGAGCTATTTTACAGACGACTATAATAAAAGATTTTTTTTTTTTTTTTAATCTCATATTCAAGAATGATATATTGTCTAGAAAATATTCTCATTTTTCAAGACGTGTTGTCAATTCAAGGACTGTGGATATATAGTTAAATTTATTTAAAATTATTTTAAACCTCAAAGAATTAATTAAATTTTTTTTATTTCAAAATTATTTATTTAGAATTTATTTATTCTAAATGAAAATTTATTCTTTATTTCAAAGTGATTCCTATCCAGGGTGTCTACTAGTCCTGGAAGTCCTGGAAATGTCCTGGAATTTGAAAAATGTCCTGGAATGTCCTTGAAAGTCCTGGAATTTTAATTTTTGTCCTTGAATTTTTTATATTTTGCTTTTAAATTTTCAAAAATTTATAATTTTGTCAATCAAGTTAAAAAAAATTAATTAAATAAGTAAAATAAAAATTTACTTAAGTAATTAATTACTTTTTTAATAATTTCTGAAAACAATAGTTAAACTAAACATTTTTTTATTCCTTAAGGTCATCCAATTTAATGTCCTGGAAAAATAAGAAATTTGTCCTGGAAAGTCCTGAAAAAGTCCTGGAATTTTAATTCAGATTTTTAGTAGACACCCTGCAGTATTGTCAATTTTATTCTTTTTCTTCATTTCCAAAAAAAAAACTTTTTAACCTGCTGAAAAAAAATTTCTTTATCATCCACAAAATCTTGTTCTTCATTTTGATACAAAGAGATAAGATCGCATTGTATTTAAAAAATTCGTTCACTCATTATTGAAATTTTTCTATAATTCAAAAAATATTTCTAAATGTATAAATTCGTTTAATTTTAACATACTGATTTGATGAACTATATTGTATGACATAAATTGTCATATAAATTGAAATCGGGTTAGTTGTAATGTATTCGGTTCTATCTTGAAATTATTAATCAAAGTGTCTAGAACCGATAAATGGAAATTTGAAATGACTGATTCAATTAGAAAATTTGATAACAAACTTTCTGAATAATTACTATTGAAGTTTGTAAAATTGTATTATTTTCAGAAATTGTAAAGTAATTTTAATCATATTAAAAACTTCAAACTTTCTTTATAATATAATTAGTGATGCATAGAAAAAAATTTAAATATATTCTACACTAAATTATATATTAAGTTCGTGACAAGTTAAAAAATAAGATTTGAGATATTAGCAATATTATATGTTAAGCTGAAGAATAAGGGATATAAAATGAGTGTGAAGCTCAAAGTTTATTCATGGTTCATGATAAATAGTGCAAGTGAATGAAAGCAAATCAATTTCTTTTGTTTTTTTTTAATTATTTCGATTAATCTTATCATAAAATAATTACTCGATATAGTAATTTTATATATTATGATTATAATTAATAATAAATATCGTTTTATAAAAATGCGCAAATTACTTTCAACGCCACGTGAAACGCTCATGTAAAAGCACACTAAATTTTGATATTTTAATATTTAAAAATATTATTATTTTTTTTCAAATCTTATTTATTGATATTCGTAATAATAATAATAGCTTTATTTTCTCCAGAAATCCCAATCAAAGGAAGTAACGCAAAATCCAGTGACATAGGAAATGGTGCTCTGAAAACAAATGAAGAACTTATATTCCCAGGTAAACTTTTTAAATTACTTTTTCCAGTCTGTATTTAAAATGACTGTATTTCTGAAAAATGAAAGACAAAAAAAGTATTCAATTCTTAAATTAGATTCCAAATCAAAATTTTTGGATTATTCATGGAAACTGTTTTTTTTTAATTGTTGCATTAGAGAAAGAATGTATTTTCTGAAAATTTATATTTTCTTTCTGTTAGAAAACGACATTTCCAGGGTTTCAAAAAAAGACACTACAAATGGTCACATTGAGGGAAAAAAATCGACGCACAGTGGAAAATTCAACCACAAACATAGACGTTTCAGTCATGGAAATCGTAAAAAAAAGTAATTAAAAATTAAAAGTTTTTATTCTCTTTGTCGATGTGAAAATCCGCGAGAGTTAATGAAATGTAAAATTTATTGAAAATTTCAATTACATCGTTTTGAGTACAATATACACACACACATATATATATATGTATATATAAATGAACAAAACATTGTGAGAAATTTTCGAAAAATTCTTTATAAAAATTTGACTACGTTTTTGTCAAAGTTTTCTATTTAAATATATATCATGTGTTTTTTTCGAAAAAATCTCGTTAATCGAACTTTAAGTTCATTCATCATACACAAAGTGTATGCACATATATATACATATATATATATATATACAGGGTGTTCCAAAAGTATGGAAACTTGCAAATATCTCGAAAAGTACGCATTTTCGTAAAAAATATCCAAAACAAAAGTTGTTCCCAAAAAAAGATCTACATTTTTTTTGAACCCAAAAAATTGGTCCCGGGACCCAACAGTGAAAAAAGAAGTATCACGAAAATGCGTACTTTTCGAGATATTTGCAAGTTTCCATACTTTTGGAACACCCTGTATATATACATATTAAAGTTAAGGTATCTTATTATAAATTATCGACTATAAATTAAACAAATAATTCGCCACATTTATTTGAAAACATCGAAAAACAATTGTCATTTTCAATACATCGAATTATCGCCATATTTTTAGCATTTTTCATCAATATTCTAATATTATATACACGGTTGATTAATATGAAGCTCAACAAAAACTTTATTGAGACTTTTTCTCATATTAAAGAGATGAATTTTTGTGAATAATTTGTAAATGAATTTATTATATATATATATACTTAAAGTCCATCTGAAAAAACAAGAGCTTTTCACTGTTAGTGTGTAATGAATATTTGTGTTATTATATATTCTTAAGTTATTTAATCTTGTGATCGGAATCATGTCATTAATTCAGTGATTGTTATATAGGATCCTAAATGTATGTACCTATGAAATACTCTATAAAAAATTGTTTAGGGATTATTATTTTTTGAAATATTACTTCTACCTGTTTTGTAATTAGATACAACTTTATACAGAACCATTTTTTGAACGAAGTTTGCAAAAATATTCCTTAAAATTTTTCAAACAATTTTCATGTCTCAAATTAAACTAAATCGGGGTTGTTCACATTTATGATCAACGATTACAAATAAAAATATTTTTCAAGCGAAAAATAATAACTTTTTTTGCTTAGAAATTAATAAATTTGAAAATTTGTCTTATTAAAGGGTTAATTCTAAGACTTGAAGTTTACAAAAAATATCACAATTCTCTCTTTTTTTATGAGAATAGAAAGAGATGTTAAACTTTAGTCATAGAATTAACTAAAAAATTTTCAAATTTATTATTTCCAAAACGGAGCAAAATACCCTCAGAAAATTTTCATATCAGGTAAAATTATATCAATATTAAAATATGTGTAAAGCCCCAAATTTTTTGAAGCATCCAGAAAAAAGTTATAAGCTTTGAAAAATTGAAATTTTTTTACTTAACAAATTTTAAAATTCGAATTTTAAAATTGAATAATAACGTTTCCAAAAAAGTGCAAAATTTGAGATTACGAAATCACTTCGTGAACCTCCTACTTTGAATTAATAATAATTGCAAAGGAAATAAAATTTACAAGATAATATTATGACCAATAAACTCAGAAATTCATCTAGTTTCACATAATATTAAAACTACCCCCCCCCCCCAGCACCGAAACTTTCCTGAACATTTAAATCTTAACACAATTTTCACTAAACATTGCAGTTAAATATTCCAAACATTTCAAATAAATCTTTAGGAAATCTTTAGGAAAGTTTCAGTGTTGTGGGGGTAGATTTTTTAAAAATAAGCCAGTGAAGCATTCATAAGCTCAGTCCAGGGATTTCTCTAATATAATATTTCTATATTTATTTACTTTAATATAAAATATAATTTCATCATATTATTATTAGATAGATAGATTTTATTCCTCAATAGAGTATATAAATTCCCTTAATCATTTGCAACATTCTCCCTTTTACTCCAATTTTTGCAATAATAACCCTCTGTCAACTGTATCGAAAGCTTTCTGGAAGTCTACGAAAATTTCATATAATTTACACTTTTCCCTTTTAATTTTATTATTTATTAGTGAATTCAGTACAAAAACGTGATCTCTAATAGATCTTTTCTCTCCTTTATTATTTTTTTCTTTTCTAGCCATGATCCCAATCTTTCCCCAGATAACAAACGTGTCTGGCACGTTACAGGCACAACGAGCGGCGGACCGTGTCCCTGCTGTAACGCACCTTTTGTGCCACCTACTTTATGACAAGACCGACTGTGCCAGCATCGTGCTCGCAATATTCCTAACATATTATCCGGATCTTTTGTCCAGGATATATCTGCCAATAGGCTTGTTTAAATTTCTGTTTTTGAATCTTCATTATAAATAAAAAAAGTATTACTTTCACTAATAAAATTAAATAATTTATAAATAAATTAATTTTTATTGATATTTTATATTTTGTAGTGATAAGCAAAACAAGTTTGCAATAATTTTTTTTATGGTTCAAAATATATAAAAATATAAATAAAAGAATAAATCTAGGGATAAGAGAAAATAACAAGATTTATTAAAAAATAATTCACAAATTTTTAAAAATGTAGAATACTTTTTAAAATATCTAAAAAATCATGAATAAAAAATTTAAAAAGTAAAGTAAATTATCAAAAAGATGAGAAAAATATAAGCCAACAAATTTTTAATAAATTAAGCAGTTTAATAAGTATAAAAATCCTAATAACTTAAGTTTTGTAAAACACACTATAGAAATGTTAAGAAAAGAAAATTCTTAAAATATAAGAAAGTTAAGGAGATTATTCATAAAATGAAGGAGTTTAAAAAATATAAGAACAAAGCTTTAAAGAACGAAAAAAGCTTAAAATATTTAAAAATGCCCAAAACAAAAACTAAACAGCTTTAAATTTTAAAAAAATTATGAAATGTTAAAAATTGTATAAAATAAAATGTTGTAAGAAAATAAAAGAATTTATAAACGAATATAAAAAGAATCTGAAAATTAAAAAAAATTGAAATGATTTACAGAAATATTTTTAAAAAATTAAAGAAAATGTTATAACAGAACGAAAAACTATTGAAATATAGGAACGATTGGGAAATTTGTAAAAATACAGGAAAAAATGCAAAAAACTGACTAGAATCTATTAAAAAAGAATAATATAAGGAAAAAGTTATTCAGTTTAGAGAAGGGACAACATTTCTAAGAAATGAGAAAATTATGAAAAACTATAAAATTTATTAAATGAGCAAATAATGATAAAAAATTATAAAGGAACTTAACAACAAAATGAGAAAATAACGTATAAACACACACAGCACATGATATTTTCTAAATATTTCTGAAATATTTCATTGAAATTTTGAAATATTCCAATGTAAAGTCCTTGAAATATTGCTGAAATTAGGGAAATGTCCGCCTATAAGTAATATTGCCGTGTAATTTTGCTGAAATATTTCATTAAAATATATTATAGAAAAATTCCAACTTAAACGATGCTAAGGATCCTAAGGTGTTGAACATGTTAGAAAATAACGATTGATTTCATATTTTAGAAAAGTTTCTAACTTTGAAATATTTTTTGAATATTGCAGAGTCTTCATTTGTAATATTGCAGGAGTCTTAATGTGTAATATTTCAGCAAAATTTCACGGCAATATTTCTTATAGGCGGACATTTTCCTGTTTTCATCAACATTTCATGAACCTTGCATTGAAATATTTCAAATCTTTCAATGAAATATTTATGAAATGTTTATGAAATATAATGTGATGTGTGGGAAAAAAAGAAAATCCTTAAAAAAATTAAACGATTAACTGAAAAGTTTTTTAAAAATTGTACTAAATATTAAACAAATAAAAATTCATGAAACGAATTGAATTAATTGAATAATAAATTGAAAATTGGATGGAATAAATTTAAAAAAAACTATTAAAACTTTTAATAAAGCTAATAAGTTTGACTTCGAAATATTTATTTTGTCTTACTTTAACAAAGAAATAAATTAATGAATTAATAAAATAAAGGTAGATTTAATTATTAATGTTACATTGAGAATTTATATCGATAGCTCCTAAATGAAAACACGTTATTCGCGAGAGCAAACAAAAAACACCCTTATTTACAAAAAAAAAATAGAAAACTCATCTGAAAATTTTGTAACCTAATTTTCTTAACTTTTCTATGTTTTTATTTTAAGCCAATATCAAATGTCTAAATAAAATAATTTAAGGATACAACGTTAGTTTGACACAATATAAACGTTTAAATTAATTTAAATTTTAATGTATCATTCATACTTTAAAAATAACCATTAATTAAAATTGTAACATAGCCTTCAAACAACTGTCATTTTGAATAAGATGTTTTCTATTTGTTTTATTTAATAGTGTGTTTTCTATCTGCACTCGCGAAAAACGTGTTTTCATTTAGGGGCCATCGATATAATTTACAAGAATAATTTTAGAATTTCTTTTGTAACTTGTTTGCTACTTAAGTTTGATGAATTCGTAAATATAATTAATAATTAGTGAAAAATTTATTATTTTAATGAATATAATATATATTGCATTTAACAATCATGCGATTATACGAATATTCTTAATAACACAAAAAATAATCATAGAATATCTTGAAAATTATTACAATCTATATAATAATATTCAAAATGTTTGATCTATTTATAATAAAAATAATTAATTCTAAGAAGAATATTTGAATAAATGAAATTTTGAAAAACAATAATTTTAAATAAAAGTATTTTATAGTTCATTTTTAGGACAGAATTCTTGTAAATAAAAGCAAGTGCGTTGATAGATCAGTTGGTTAAGCATTAGGTTTAGTTTGCGTTAGGTCGCGGTTTCGATTCCCCTTGCGTGCGTGAGATAATTTAACTTTAAGTTAAGCATTGTAAATAATCATACTGAATTAAATATATGCATTTCCGTGATTAAATTCCGAAAACAACTCATTTTTTACTAACGAAATATTTTTGAACACTATTTTTTTAGCTATTTAATTAATGAGATGGTTGATTATCTGATAAAAAAAGTTACCAGAGCACATTTTCAAAATGTTAATCAGCACGTGTAATTTTTTTACTGAAATTGTTTAAATAATCATTAAACGTATCTACATAGACGCAGTTTCAATTTTTATTTTAGTAAAAAACATTTTCTGTACTTTAATGGATCGGACCGCGGGCGGGCGATATCGCCAGCAATGGCGCGTACATTGCGCTGCTTATGTGCCGGCACGTTGGTCCGATCAATCGGACTGAGGTCCGGCACACGGCCTGCAATTATGCAGGCATTTTGTTATCTGGGTTCGTGCATATAATAGCTGCCAAAATTTTTATATCCTACGTCAAATAAAGAGATCCCTCCATTGTTAAGTTTTTTTTTTATAAACTCCGCTGTCAATCCATCTTCCCCAGCTGCTTTGCCTTTTTTTATTTTCATGATAATTTTTCCTAATTCTTCGAAAGTAATATCGCTGTTCAAGTTTTTGTCATCCTCATCTTCTAAATTATTTCCCATTATTTCATTTCTGTTTCTATTTCTTTCTATGTCATTTGTTTCCGCTGCTACCCCCAAGAGATTTTCAAAATGAGATTTCCATCTTTCTTTACTAATATTTCCGCCTTTCATCCCTCTCTTTTTTCTAGTTCTAACTGCCCACATAGCACGACTTCTTGCTGGGAGATTACTGTAACGATATCTGTAGGGTTTGTAAGGTTACCGTGTAAGCCTGCAGTAAACTTGAGGTCATCTTAAAACTTCCGCCTTACAGTAAGCTTACACAGTAAGGTCGTGGTAAGTTTACATGGTAAAGTTGTGGTAAGCTTACACGGTAAGGTAGTTGTAAGCTTCCTTTAAGGTTACTGTAAGGTTGATGTAAGGTTACTGTAAACATAGAATGTTGTTAATAAATAAAATTTTTTAATATTTATGCGCAGTAGTTTTCTATGGCACATACGGCTGCGCAGTAACTTTTATTTGACAAACCCTATTGGGGTTCATAAAGTACTTTACCAAATATATAATTTTTTATACAAAAAAATTTATAATATAATATATAATATAATATAATTATTTTTAATATATTTTCATATTACTTTATATTAACAGTAACCTTACAGCAACCTTACAGTAACCTTACGGGAAGCTTACAACAACCTTACCGTGTAAGCTTACCACAACCTTACCATGTAAACTTACCACGACCTTACTGTGTAAGCTTACCTTAGCTTTACTGTGTAAGCTTACTGTAAGGCGGAAGTTTTAAGATGACCTCAAGTTTACTGCAGGCTTACACGGTAACCTTACAAACCCTACAGATATCGTTACAGTAACCTCCCAGCAAGAAGTCGTGCTATGTGGGTGTGTTGATAGATTTCCGAAATTCTCTCATGTTCTTACTATTTCTTATTTCCTCCCATTTTGCTTCCCTTTGTTCTTTTTCGCGTAAATCTGTTCTACTTCTCCCTTTTTTTAAAACAAAGTTCTTTATTTTTTTCCTCACCAATCTTTTTTGATTTTCTATTATTTCGTCGATCTCATTTTTCTATGCTTCTTTTGTTTTTTCGGCATTATTTCCCACTCTCCCTTTTTTTATCATTCCTACATTTATCATATTATTATTAATTTTAGCAATTAAATAAAATAATTTTTATTATTTTATTTTATAAATATTTAAAAAATGTAAAATATAATTTATATAAATTTTTTATTCTGTTAAAAAATATCTCTAAATTTAAGTTAAATTAATAATTCTTTTTTATTTGAATTTATATCTTCCTTCTCTTTCTATTATTTTTCCTGTTTACATTCTCAATATGTGTTACTTATGAATATCTTCTCTCTCTCTCTCTCTCTCTTTCTATTATTTTCAGAAATACTATTTCTCTAAATTTAACTTCATTTCTTAATATTATTTAACTTTTAAAACTCTTAAAACTTTCAATTTACATTATGTTTCAATATAACCTAAAATATCATGATAAAATTGTAAACTTTATTTTCCTTATAAATCATCAAATTACACTTATTGTAAGATTACTAATTTTTTTGTTTTCCACGATAATATCATTAAATTAATACAGAATATAAAATAGAACTACTAAAATCAATTACATATTTTCAAAAGTGACAGTTTACTACATCCAATAGTCCAAATTTAAACAAGAAAAGTTTTGTATTTCTTTGTTAACAGCAAACGATAAGCACCAGTGCTTGAATGTGAGACCAGTAGATGTCAGTAAAATTATCTTCAGTGAAAGAGTCAGGCATTAATTTAGACTGAAAGCTGAAAGTAAGGGGAAGTAGTATAGTAGTAGTAGTAGTAAAGCAGAACAACATTGCTGCTGAAGAGAAAAGAGATGTGCAAGGTGGTAAAAGTCGTCGAGTTCGAATTGAAATGAGTGTGCGCGTGCTAATCTGTGCAGTTTGTGTCTTTTAACATGGCAGAAGGGTCCCGTTATCGGGGCTCAGTAGTTGCATTTTTCCTTTGAGAAATCATTTTATTATATATGCAAATTGTGCGTGTAGTGTGTTCCTTTCTTGCTAACGTGATTTCGGAGTAAAGATCCTTTTTCAGAACAAGGACGTGTGACCGCGCCTGAAAAGGAGACAGATCAACAACAGCGTAAGGTTAGGTTTCTTGTTTTTGTCTGAAGTATTTGATCTGTACTGCTTTTTCTTCCTCTTCTTTTTTTTATTATTTTATTCATCTTATTCACTTGCCATTGTTACATTTTCATCCTTCTGTTACACAGATTATACACAATGTATCTTGCTTCCTTTCACCAGGCATAAATTTCTCACAATTCATAGAAAAATTGTTCACTTTTATTGTATGTTCGATTTTTTCAACCCTTTAAGTATGATCAGACACTTGTTTACTTTTGCCGGTAATGCACAAGGAAAAATAATTGTTAATTTGTATAATTACAAAACAAAGATTTGTGATTAGAGAATTGGAGATCTTTTCATATTGAAGTTATATAAATAATTTTTGTTTGTTGATTACAATATGAAATATGGATGACTTTCATTTGTGTATAGCAAAAGTAGAAAAGATGAAACATAATTCTCATTGTACTCATTATATTTGTAATTATATTCAATTACTTTTCTTTCTGGTATAAATATTTATTTATTTAATTATACGGGCAGTGCTCTTTAAATTGAAAAGTATCAAAATTCTACATGAGAATTTCACATGTAAATTTATTACTTAAATTTTCTCATAAAATATTTGACAAATTGAACAAAAATTTGTTGAACAAATTTAAATCATTATTTAATAACGTTAATTAAAATCATTTTAAAAGAAAAATTTGTTTAAATGAAAAATTTTCTAAATTCTTGTCTGAAAAATATTTTTTACAACATTTATTTATCAAAAAATTTTAAGAAATATTTTTTTAAACAAAAAATTCTATTATTTTTAAACCATTAAAATGTTCTAAAAGTCCAAATTAACGAAATCATTTTTTTGTCTACAAATTTTTTAAAATTTGTTACTGCAATGGAAAATAATTTGTTTTTTGATACAAGAACAAATATTTTATAATAAAATTTGAACTTAAAGAGGTAATAAACAAATTGTTCAGAATTTACAGAACATCAATCAAGTATAATTATAAAAGTATTTTACAAAGAAGAAACCTACGGAGCATATTTACCATGTTAATTATATTCTCACTTATAAAGTTTGAGTGCAAAATTCGCTATTATTTATTTATTTTTTTTTTTTTGAAAGAATACTTGTTAGCTTTGGAAAATTAATTATAATAATAAATCACTTTATCAAATAAATAAAAATAAAATACAAAGAAACGGAAGTAGAAAATTGCAAAATAGTGTTCTATATACTATGTACATAAGGAAGAATTTCATCTTGTACACTTGAAATCACTTAATGGTCTTTGTCATTTCCACAATTAACAGAAAAAAAAGAATTTCAAAGGGAATGCAAATAATTAAATAAAAATAATAATGAATAAATTATTATCTGAAGTTTTGAAATGAGCCAAAAGTTTTGAACGTTCAAATGAACAAAATTTTTTTTGTAACTTCTTTAAGTTTGAATTTTATTACAAAATATTGTTTTAAATATGTAAAAAGAAGTTATTAATTTATAGATTGAAAAAAATATTTTGTTCATTTGAACGTTCAAAATTTTTGGCTCATATTTTGAACGTTCAAATTCAAATGAACGAAAAATTTGTTTACTACTTTTTTAACTTTAAAATTTATATTATAAAATATTGCTATCTGTATTCAAAAATAAATTAATAATTTAATAAATATTTACCTCCATGAAGTTGACGTCGACGCTCAGCATCGAAAATTGTTTTTCACAGAACCAAAAATGTCAAATTATTTTTTTTTAAGATTGGTCCCTTAAAAAGTAAAGAAATAAATAATTATTTTTTAGACAAATTTTCATTTTTCGAATTAACATTCGTCAGAATTTCTTTTTTAAAGAACTTTTAATTAACAGAATTTTTAGGCACCGAATTTTTATTTGGTATAATTCTTAAAACCCCAAAAACCCCCGAGTAACAAGTTTTAAGCAAATCAGGTTGAATTTTTATTTCTTCGTCCGCCATATTGGATCCGCCATTTTGGATTTTCCAAAACGGACATCAAATTCGTAATCAGCGACCCCAAAAACAGCGGGATACGAAGTTCTGTTGTAATAAAAAGTTGTTTGATATTCATGACTCAATGAATTATGTTATGAAAACTTTGAACGCGTTTTTCTCGAAAACTCATTTTTCAAACTGGTAGGGGAGAGCGGGGCAAAGCCGCTGATGTAACATTTATTTATAAATATTTTTGTTATTACACCTTCAATGTTATATTTCCTAATATATTTAATATTTTGTAGTTTTTTCTTTTCCAATCTATTGCTTTAATCGTATTAACAATAAACTGTTAACGAAAATGGTAATAGATTAGAAAGAAAGAAGATATTTCGAAAAACGCCTTTGCACCGCATAGCGGCTTTACCCCGCTCTCCCCTACAGAGCTTTTCTCGAAATCTACTGAACCGATTTTGAAATCCCAAAAATTTTTCGATTCTTTATTTAAAAAACTGGTGCCTAAACCTCTAAAAACTCATATTTCTACCCCCTGTGCTTTTATATGGAGGTAAATTGACCCAAAAACACGGCGTTTTTGCGAGTTTTTGAGAAAAATGTACATAAAAAATAAAAAAACCTTTAAAAAAAGTCGTTTTTGAGGTTTAGGCACAAGAATAAATCCTTATGAAGAGATTCCCGTTTGGAACTTGAATTTATGTATTACAGGTTGCCCGGAATCTAACGTACCAAAAAAAGGTATCTTTTGGAAGAGCCACCTATAGCTATGAAATTGAACTAAATACACTCAAACATATTTTTTAAATTTTCTCTACGCAATGTGCTACAATGTCCAAAAATAGTTTTTACAATTTCTTTAATACTGTTCTTACAATAAAAGTTTTAAAACCTTCCTTTTTTGTCAATTCTAAACCAGAAAGTCCCCTTAATATTATTTTAATTGAATTTACTATTTATATAATTTTTACACATCTTTAATATTTCAACATTTAAATTTAGTATTCAAACCGAAATTCAAACATAAAGAATAAATGTTTGACAATCTGGTTCCTGGGTTTTTCCATCCACATTTTCAGGAAACATGCAAAATCCTTTTTTTGGTATCTATAAAAAAAATACCATAAAAGCTGTTTCAACTACCATTTTCATGCATATAAAATTTACAAAAACAAATAACAAAAATTTTTCATGTGTTTTGGGAGTTTATTTCTTTAGTCTAACAACTTATATGTCAATATTTGTAATATAAACCAATCAGAAAAATTCTTGAAAATAACCTTCATTTTAGCGCGTCTAAAGTGGGTAGACCCCTTAAAGGTTCGACCTTAAGATTTGTAACATGTCCAAATCTCAGCGATTTCCTATAACAGTATAATTCCTCGAAATTAATTTTGGTTCAGGATATGAACTAACATCTATTACGCGAATAAACCATTTTATTTAAAATTAATATTCATTGAAATGTGTAATAATTGAAATTAAATCTTTTCAACTTTGTTAATTTTATAATTTTTAACCCTTCTGTTTATGATTTTGTAATTATTAATATAATTTGATTGTTCTTTTTGTGTATCAATGTGTATTGTCAAGGATTCTCATTGTGTGCGTAAGTTCGTTAAATAAACAAGCATTTCAACATCCATGAAGTTGGCGTCGACGCTCAGCGTCGAAAATTATATTTCACGGGACCAAAAATATCAAATCATTTTTAAAAAAAGTTCGGATTCACATAATACCTTAAAAAGTATTTTACAAGGCATTATTTGCACCAAAAATCTTTTTAAAAAAATAATTTGACATTTTTGGTCCTGTGAAAAATAATTTTCGACGCTGAGATTCGACGCCACCTTCATGGAGGTGCATTTCAACTAAAACCTAACCTATTTTCTCTTTTCTTTCGATTTTCTATTTAATTCCTCTGATAACAATAAAGAAGGTGAGTTTCAACTCTTTGTAAATAACAAGATCCCACAAATTCAGTTATTTTAACCTTTATTTCTATGCCGTGACGTACATTCTTTTAAATAAATTAATTTTTTATAATTCCCCATGTTAAAAAATAATTTTTTTTCTAATTGTTAATAAAAGTTGTGGATTTCAGTATCGTTGGAAATAAGGATTTTAGAAAAGAAAAAGAAACAATAAATTACTTGACTTGACAGGCGAAATAACAATTACATAAAGAGCAGATATGAGAAGTTATGCAAGTTTACATTCATGTAAAGTGTACAGAGATAAGTATTTGATACACACACATAAAGGTACTGAGAATAGCTTTGAATCCTAGAATTGGAATCGATTGTGTTACGATTGTTCAATACAAATTGTTGATTTCAATATTGACACAGTAATGTCTTGTGTATTCTTGTATTTATATGTGTGTGTATGTAAGTCATTAATACCAACACGTTTTCAGTCTTTATATTCTAAAACAATAATTGCAATCTCTGCATTCACAAAACTCAAGAGTAATATTAGAGATATTATAATAACTTTAGATGCACAATGACTAAATTAACGTTGAAAAAAAACTTAAGATGTAACACCACTCTAGAATTTTCAAAAAAAAACGATTTTTTTTTTTGTTAAAATGTACTTTAGGATTGTAGAAACAATAGGCAGGTGATCCTATGGCGAAAAAATTTTTTTTTAACCCTTTGAGTGTCACTAATGCATCATATAGGCGTCATGACTGAACACTGAGCAACGCCATGTTGGATCCGCAATTTTTAATTTTCAAAATCTGACTACAGATTTGTAATCAGTGACCCCAAAAACTATAGAATTCGTCATGAAAAGCTTTAAATTTGTTGTACTCCGGAAATTATGAATTTTAGAACATTGTAAAGGTCTGCTGGCCCATTGTGTGTTCGTTCTATACTTTAAACGCGTTTTTCTCGAAACCACTTTTTTCAAACTGGGAGGACGAATTACTCGAACACCGTTGCATGGATTGATCTGAAATTTTAACAGTAACTACACAATAACCTTCTTTATGGAACTACGTAGCCGTTTTTTGATTTAATGTAAACTTTTTTTTTATAAACAATTTACTGCTTGTTTTTTGGCAAAAAATCGATTTTTTTTCAAAGTGCTACCATTTGTACAAATTTTGATTTAAAAAAAAAAACCCCTTCGTAGTTCCATAGTCAATAGGGAAGGATTTCAGAAAATTCTTGGATTTTTGTTCTAGGTCTTACACACCCCTTAAATAATTTAATAAGAGTAATTTTTGTCAAGTTGAATTTGAACAAAATGTTGTAAACATTTTTTCATTTGAATTTTACTACTAACTATTTGAAACAATATACATAATAGCACTATATTTTAGTACAAGAAACAAAAAATAATAAACTTTTTTATTTTATTGTCAATAACATTATTACGATTATTTTTCATTGACAAAAAAATGTTCTTGACCACAAAACCGGTATGTTGTTTTATGAATCATAAGTCTTTTATGTGTGGATTCCTATAAACTTATTAATTAAGAATCATATTTAATGAAAAAAAAAAAATTAAACCTCAATTTTACGTTTAATGTATACAAGGTTTGAAAATCCATATTATACATAATATTGATATATAATATTACTACTAAAAAATTCTTTTAAATAACTATTATCTGTCTAATTTAAATTCGAGCATATAAATTCTTTTGTCAAATTCAAATTCGATGGAATAAAAAGTTTTTTTCAAATGAAAATTTGTACAACGTTGAAGTACGCAACGTTTATGATTAACGATTAGAATTTAATTTTTATTCAAAACGGAAAAATATAAAATAGTTGATTTAAAAATATAGTTTATTATTTGTTGATTAATAAACACTAAAAGAAATATTTTTCAGGCAAAAAATTTGTAAAATTTTTCATTCTAAAAAATTATTTCTTTAAAATTCTTTTATCATAAACGTTGAGTACTTCATCAACGTAAATTTGTTTAAGTAACAATTTATTTATAATACATCGAAGAAATTAAAATTTGGTTAAAAGTAAATTCTATAGATAATTGAAAATTCTAACAAATAAATTTTGTCTGTTTCTATTTCGCCCGCTCGGGCGAACTAATTCATTTCTGTTATTTCGCCCGTCGCGGGCGAAATAGATACGACTCTGTGAACTGGCTATTTCGCCCGTCGAAATGAATGTGTTTTAGAAGACGGGCAAAATAAGAAAAATAGATTATTTCGCCCGTTCAAGATAAAATCGAGTATCTGGAAGACGGGCGAGTATATTATTTCGTCCGTGAAATGTTTAAACAAAAACGGGCGAAATAATCAAAATACAATATTTAGCACGCTAGGTATAAACAGCTGTTGTATATTTCAATTTACAAACTAAAATTATTTTAACTTTTATTTTGCAATTTATGTTAAATATCATATATTTGATAAACAAATTTGATGGTCTCATTAATTTGTTGTGTTTTGATAAAAAAAAGGGTTTTTCTGATTTCTTTCTCAGCAGAATCATGGTTTTATATATCAATGTGAGATTATACTCCGTATAGTATATTCTTTAAATATTGAAAACGACGGTGCGTTGTTTGAAAATCTATTTGGTATCGAAAGTAGTTCATATGACATTCTTTATTTTGATTGTCTTCAATTTTATTTACTCGTTGAATTTAGAGATGCAAATATACAAAAATTTCAGAAATAGTCGATTTTTAAATTCTTATTTAAATTAAAAAATTGAAATCCACATTTTTTATTACCAAAGTTTAATAAACAAAATTTAAGAAAATTTTTTTTTTATTTTTCATGAAAAAAATTTTTTAAAATGATTTTTTCAATTTTTAAGAAAAAATTTTTTGCAATTTTTTCGTCAACAATTTTTAAAAGAAAAATTTATAAAAAATATTAAAAAATATTATTAATTATTTGAAAAAATATTAATATTTTTAAATCGATGACGATCAATTTTAATAATTGTTTTCGACTTCAACATCGTAATTTTAATTAGTTAAATTTAATAATTATAATTTATAATTTTAATATTAGATTAATTTTTTTATAATTTTAATTATATTTATTTACCATTAGGGGAATAGTGTCAGGGTTGGACACTTGTCAGGGTTGGACACTTGGCTTTTTTTAAATAAGAACACTAGCGCCACCTGTGTGCGTACGTGACGAATCTTCTAGTAGTATAACCTAACTTTTTGTGGCATTACATTTTTGGAGAATCAAAAGTAGCGTCTCCTGTGACTTCGGTGCAATCGAAGAGACAAAAAAAGTTTTGTTTGACTTGTGAATAAACCTAAAAAAATGTGTAAAAAAGCAAGAATTCGGCAAGATAAGCTTATTGAATGTATTGTGGGGTACATAATTTAAGAAGAAAAAAAGTGAAAACTCGAATCGCGACACATGTCTAGTTATGGTTAGCACAATTCGAAAATGATGCTTCTAGTTAGGGTTGGACACTTTATACAGTTAGGGTTGGACACCCATATTAATTATATGAATTTGACACAATTTATAAATAAATTTTATTTTATTGATAAATCAGTGCAAAATTGTGCCAAAGATATTAGAAAAATAATACTTAAATTGTATAAATTTTGTTCATCATTTCATTGAGTTATTTGGAACAATAAAGCGTCATTTTTTGTAATTTGAGTTGATTCCTTTTTTAAACCCATGAAGCTTTACAATTTGTAAACAATAAGTAAAGATAAACATGAAAAAATAAGAATAAAAAACATTACAAATGTTATTTTACGTTTTTACCAATAATGCGTTTCGATTTTCAAAAAGTGTCCAACCCTGACTGAAAAGTCCAACCCTGACTAGATTTTTTTTTTTTTTAAATGTTTATAACTTTTTTAATTTTGGACCAATCAATTTACGGTCCACAGCAAAAGTGTTCCTCTTTTGTAGATCTTTCCACTTATATACCACAATTGACTAAATTTATCTAAACAAAATATTTATAAACAAAAAACCAAAACTGTGTCCAACCCTGACACTATTCCCCTACTATAAAATATTAAATTTTTTTAATTATTTAATAAGAGTAATTAATACCTCTATAAATATATTAATTTTTTTTCCAATACAATTTCTTAGATAAAATAATTATTATTCTTTAAAGTCACGTCTCAAAAACGTGTAAAATAAATATTTGAAAAATCTTCAAGTTAATAATTATACAAACAAATTTTATGTTACAAATATTCTCAAAACTTTAATTAATAAAATTTTTTGAAAAAAAATAGAAAATAATTAAGTATTAATTTTAAGAATTTAAAGAATTTTTAAGAACTTTTTTTTTATTTAAATTTCTTCTATTTTATTAAACCAAATACTCCAAAAGATATAAATAAATAATATTAGACCTATACTCAGACGTCTTTTTTCTATCCATCTTATTTGTTATATTTAAAAAAAGTAAAATTATTTTTTCTCATTATCTAAAAAACAGCTGTCTATACTTAACGGACGAAATAATATACTCGCCCGTCTTCCAGATACTCGATTTTATCTTGAACGGGCGAACTAATATATTTTTCTTATTTTGACCGTCTTCTAAAACACATTCATTTCGACGGGCGAAATAGCCAGTTCACAGAGTCGTACCTATCTATTTCGCCCGCGACGGGCGAAATAACAGAAATGAATTAGTTCGCCCGAGCGGGCGAAATAGCCACTCCGATAAATTTTAGAGACCTTGTTCCATATGCCTTTCGAAAATTTTTATCGCGCAGCTGTGTAATTTGTAAATAAATTTTATTACCTTTTCATATTAGGTGTGATATTATTATTAGTTGCTTCACGTCTTAGGTGTCAAGAAAAGTCATTATTGTATTTTACCTGTTTTTTGAATAAGGAAAAAAATGTTATTTGATACCTCCATGTATAAAACTATACTATCTTCAAGAACAAACACGAACCTCCCTGAAGTTGGCTTCGACGCTCAGCGCCGAAATTGTTTTTCGTAGAATCAAAAATTTCAAATTACTTTTTTTTTTAAATTTTCAATCCAAATAATACCTTGAAAAATACTTCTTAAAACATTGTGTGAACCCTTAACCTTTTTAAAAAATGTTTTGATATTTTTGGTCTCATGAAAAATAATTTTCGACGCTGAGCGTTGACGCCAACTTCATTGAGGTACAAACACGTCGGTGAAGTCCACAACATTTATGATCAACGATTGAGAAGAGAAAATATTTTTCTATGCAAATTATTATTATTATTTTTGATCTACGAAATTTTTTTGAAACGTTTTTTGATCAATAATTTTTTGAAAAAAAATTTTTAGGCTAAAAAATTAGTTATTATTTTTTGAGTGAAAAATATTTTTTTTTTTCAATCGTTGATCATAAACGTTGTGAACTTCACCGAGATGTACAAATACATTAAACAAATAATAAATTATTAATTTATTTTTGAATAAAGAAAGCAATATTTTATAATAAAATTTGAAGTCAAAAAAGTAGTAAAAAAATGTTCGGTTTATTTGAACAATTTTACTATGTGTATTAAATATACATCACAATATCTTGCAACTGCGGTTAATGTATAAGATGACACATGTTTTCTGTTCATATGAAGCCGTTTTCGCATGTATTACGTTTCAATCAATTCAATGGCTGAAGTCTTTCAAGAATTAAGCTATATATACGTTTACAAAATAAGCTTAGCAGGTTACCTCCATCGATAACTTATCGATATGATTTTTTTTATTGATATACACTTTATATGTATATGATGCAACATTTCTCAAGTGATCCAATTTAAAAAAAAAATTCTCAGATTGAACTGCAATTTGTATAAAATTTAGTACTTTGGTACATTTCTGCTTTTTTAAATGGTGCAAACATTTTTTTTAAATTCAAAATTTTACCCTTTTTTGAAAATTCAAAAATATTTCTAATTTTTTAAAAAAGGGTCAAATTTTGATTTTTTAAAAATTTCTTGCACTTTTCAAAAAAAGCAGTAAAAAACCTTTCGAAAACATGTAGGTGAAAATTATTTTGTATAATAGTTACGACTTCACGACAAGGGATCAAAAGGCAAAAAATTTTAGGTTATGTTTGTGTTTTTGGGATTGAAAATAAACAAAGAGGATCAACTCTCAATAAAAACCATTGATGTTTAAGCTTTTATTAGAACCAAAATATTCAATAAAACAGATTTTCAATTTACATAATTAAAAATGAATGTTTTAATCAAGCTGAAACTATCACTAAAAATAACCTAACATTTTTTGCCCTTACCCAGATAGCACGTAAGCTTGCAGCAACGTTGCGGCAAGCTGCAAATATCCAAAATAAAATTATCGCATGATTGCTCAGTAAGCTTGCACGGTAAGCTTGTAGCAATGTTGGTGCAAGGTTTCCAAACAACCTTGCTTTGAATCTAAAAAAAAATTTTTTAAAAAATGTTTCGTCTAATTTATATATAATTTTATTATATAAATTTGACGAAACATTTAAAAAAAAATTGTTTAGGTTCAAAGCATGGTTATTTGACAACCTTGCACCAACCTTGCTACAAGCTTACCGTGAAAGCTTACTGAGCAATTTTACGATAATCTTCTTTTGCAATCTTGCAGTAACCTTACAATGCAATCTTTCGGTAAGCTTACCATGCAAACTTGGGTCAGGTGGGACATTTGAAGCTTACAATAAGCTTGCGGCAATATTGCTCGGCAAGCTTGCCGCAAGGTTGCTGCAAGCTTACGTGCTATCCTGGTAAGGTCCCTTTTCTCGTGGAGCGTCACAATATTCCTGAAGTAATTTCACTAATTTAAATGAAACTTGGTAGTTTTTTTTGGACCTATATATATATATATTTCAATAAATATTTTTCTTGAAATATAATTTAATAAATTTATCATTTATATAAATATTTAATTTTTGTTTTTTCTATATCGCGCTTTTAAAATAAGTACACAAACTTGTTCTCGTTTAAATATATAATGAAAGAAAAAAGTATATGACCGTCTTATCGTTGAACTATATCTATATCTAATATTATACTAGGCACAGACAGTTTGTAAGTATTTGCTGACTCACATTTGTTATTAAGAGCATTTGAACCTTCGTGACGTCACAAATCATGGCGCATGACACGCAAACTTCTCAGGTATGTGAAAAGCACAATTTTGAATATTTTTTAAAAAAACCTTTTGGAAAATGTTCAGAATAACATAGACTCTGTCTGTTATGTGCGGAAAATTCAAAATTTTGCGTTTAAAACGTTTTTTAAACAATGTTAAGGTCACAAATCATGGCGCATGACACGCAAACTTCTCAGGTATGTGAAAAACACAATTTTGAATATTTTTTAAAAAAACCTTTTGGAAAATGTTCAGAGAAACATAGACTATGTCTGTTATGTGCGAAAAATTCAAAATTTTGCGTATAAAACGTTTTTTGAACAATGTTTAAGTTAGTTGTCACAAGTAAGGAAAAATACACGAATTGCTTATATGTAGGCATTGTTTAAAAAACGTTTTAAACGCAAAATTTTGAATTTTTCGCACATAACAGACAGAGTCTGTGTTATTCTGAATATTTTCCAAAAGGTTTTTTTAAAAAATATTCAAAATTGTGTTTTTCACATACCTGAGAAGTTTGCGTGTCATGCGCCATGATTTGTGACCTTAACATTGTTTAAAAAACGTTTTAAACGCAAAATTTTGAATTTTCCGCACATAACAGACAGAGTCTATGTTATTCTGAACATTTTCCAAAAGGTTTTTTTAAAAAATATTCAAAATTGTGCTTTTCACATACCTGAGAAGTTTTCGTGTCATGCGCCATGATTTGTGACGTCACGAAGGTTCAAATGCTCTTAAATTGTTTGACAAAATAAATTTACATTTATTTTACATATACTTATTATAATTACAATAATTAATATATATTATTTTCAATATATTAAATGAAAACCATTAATATTGCAATGAAAAATAAAAAAGCAAATTAAATATTTATTAAGTTATTAATTTATTTTTTGATCACGTGAGAATAGGACAATGTTTAATTTTATAAAATCATATTTTCTAGATAAAAATGACAATATTTTAGTAAACTTTGGACTAAATTGATGCATGCCTGAAGTTCTAAACGTTGAAATGAACGAAAAATTTGTTTACTATTTTTTAAAAATAAATTTTATTATAAAATATTGCGTTCTGTATGAATTTTCATCCAATTTTTTTTAACAATAGTCAAAGTTGGAAAAATGACAAAAAATGCAAATATTTTCAACTTCAGTTTTGTCATCAACATACAGTAAAATAGAATGCGTTATTAAAAAGTGATACATCCATATTTTGTTATTTCAAGATTTCATTCAAATTTCTTTGCGTTAATAAAAATCTTTCCTTAATAAATTCATCAGTGACAAATCGATTTGTAAGGTCTTTAATATATTAAATCTGCGTTTATCGTCAATTTTTAGAAAATAGATTTATCGACTTTTCAAAACTTACTCTTGAAACATAATAAAAAGAAAAAAAATCATTTCATTTGTCATGAAAAAAATTAATTTTTTTTTAATTTCATTTTTTTCAAAAATTCATCTATATATGTAAAGCCATGTGTATTTAAAAAAACCTGCTTACGATCAAATATCAAAATCAAAAATTATAGGAAAAATTCTCTTTAAAGAAAACAATGTCAATAATGATGCGCCTGCGCGTTGATATGACTTAAAACTTGTTAATTAGAGGTCGCTCTATTACCAATCTGTAATTAAATTTTGAAAACACAAAATGACGGATCCAATATGGCGGCCTTTTTAAAAAAATTCATCAAATTTGCTTAAAACTCATAATCCAGGGGTTTTTAGGGGTTGATTATTACAAATTTAACATTAAATTTACAATCAATTACTCCAAAAATCACAAAGTAATGAGTTTCAAGTGAATCCGATCAATTTTTGAATAAATTTTTCGCGACTTTGAAATTTTAAATATTTAAAATTTTTGAATTTGAAATTTAAAAAATTGAAAATTCATCGGATTCATAATCAACGATACGAGTAACGATTTTTAAAAAATCCCGCCATTCTTCCATTTTCAAACGAAGTTGAAGTACGCAACGTTTATGATAAACAATATTTAAAGAAATAATTTTTTGAAATGAAAAATTGTATAATTTTTTGCCTAAAAAATATTTCTTTATAATTTGTTGATTGATGAAAACTGCTAGAAATATTTTTTCGGCAATTAATTATAGAATTTTTCATTTTTTTAAATCTTTAAAACTAATTAATATTTTTGGGACGCATGATTATGTTCTAAAAATCGTTGGTTAGAATTTTCATTTTATATATTATAATATAATATTTACACAGAAAATTAAAAGGCATTAAAATAAGCTGCAACGCTTATTATTTTAATCCAAATTTGCTTTTTTTAATCCATTTTGGTATTAAAATAAGCAAAATTGGATTAAAATAATATGCGTTGCAGCTTATTTTAATGCCTTTTAATTTTCTGTGTATGTATTATAATATATAATTAATATAAGCACTTAATAATAAGTTCAATTTAAAGTTATTCTTCATCAAACAGCTAATGTGTTACTACTTCTCTATTTTTTCATTTTACATATAAAGCGTAATTAAGTACTTAGTTCTCATTAAGTTACTTATTTCTGTTAACGCTGTAGTTGCCCATTTATGGCCCGAATAGACTGCGGGCTTTTGTGCTAAATAAATAAATAAATAAATTTGTATTTTGCAGAATTTTCATCAAAACGATTTTCTATATTACAGAATTTTTATATAACGGAAAATTCACTTCACAGAATTTTTATTTGCTCAAATTTTCATTTAATATAATAGGCTTTTTAAAGAATTTTTATTTGGTAGAAATTCATTGAATAGAATTTTTTCAGATACAGGTGCCATTCCATGAGTTTTTTTTTGTCACTTTTCGGAGTAACCTCACCAAATTAAATGAAACACATTTTTTTTAAATAAAAATTATAAAAATAATTTTATAATTTTTATTATAAAAAAAATGTTTCATTTAAGTTAGTGAGGTTACTCAGAAAAGTGATAAAAAAAACTCATGGAATGGCACATACCTATATATAGATAAAAGTGACATTTTTCAAATGTGCAGCAATATATAATTATAGATAAATTTCAGAATTTATGAATGCTTTATTAAAATATAAAAAAATAAATTGGTCACATATTTTTCGTCTGGAATATTAATTAAGTCAAGAAGAAGTGTTATAAACTAAGTTCAACTGAATGTTGCAAGCAAGTTTTAATAATAATTTAATTAAGTACATTATCTATATAAGTGTAGGCGACATCAGCGAAAGTTACATCATAGTTATGTTAATTATTGTAATACGTTTATATACATAAACGTGTGTAGTTTCTGATCAAATTTAAGTGCTTGCTTCAAATAGGCAAAAAGGTAAATGTTAATAATTAATTACCTAATTAATGTATCTATAAAAAAATTAAAGAAAAGGTTTTAAATTAAAAAGTACTATTTTTTTTTTTTTTTTTTTGATAAAAATTTACCTAGCAAAAATAAAGTACTTCTTTTTGCAGTGTAAGTAATTTGAAAGAAAAATTATTTAATTAATTCAACATTATAATTAATATATAATTAAAAAAAAGTAATTATTTTCCATTAGAATTATTATTTTAATTAAGCTGTTAAAATTGAAATGCACTTTACTTTGAGTATGAGCTCTTACAAATGACACTTGTATATATATGTAAAATTCTCGCTCTGTCAATTGTGCATAACTCAAAGCTTGTCACCAGTGACATTTCCTGTTTCCTCGTGGCGTTACCCACGCAATTTCCTCCGGGATAACGAATTTCACACATTATTTCATTAATGCCTATCCCCGCAAATCATTTCACTAAACAACGTTTTTGATTTGTGACAGAACGCGTATATTGACGACAAAAGTAAAAAAAAAAAAAAAATTTATTATTTTACTATCAACAATAATGTTGGGTTTTATTTTCTTCTGGAAAAGTACAATTATCTACTCTTACGGCATATAAAAATTTACTAATATTAAAAATTTTTATGGACTTTGTGATTCACATTTCCGGTGTTTTTACAATGGGAAGAATAGAGTCATTAGAAATAAGTAATGTGTCAAATACTAGTGTTGTTTTTATATAAAAAAAAAAAAATGTTATTTTGTGTGTCTGTATTTTTTTCCTTTCTAAAAAAATACATGACATAAAAAGGTCAAATGGATCTTTATCTTTTTTTTATAAGGAATCCAAAAATCACATTTTTAGAAGTCGGTGAAAAAAATGACTTTGCATTTTTTTGGTATTAAATTTAAATGTAAGTTTTAATATATTATTACATCCATTTTATAGACGCTTAAAAAACTTAAAATCTATTTGACCTAGTTTTGAACTCAAAACACGATTTCAAATTAAGAAGTTATTGACTTTTCAAAATTGAATTTTTCTTTTAAAAATGTGTCATTTTTAGTCGTAGTTTTTAATTGAAATTCTAATTTTTGTTTCATATTGTGTAATAAATTTTTGTAGCCTATATACAAATTATTTTCTTTTAAAAATAATTGAAAGGTGAACTAGAATAATATAAATTATTTATCATTCATATAAATGAATTAAAATATCTGACCTGGCAAATGATGGCATTTCTTTATAAAGAAAATTTTTAAATATTTTAAAAATCATCTATCAATAATGCGAATTTTTTTTAAATTATTAAATATCGCAAAAAAAACGAGAATATTTTATAGTATAGGTAAATCGAATAAATTTTTGCCATTTAAAAAAAAAATAATATTTTTTTCTATAAATTGAATGAAATATTTGAAGAAAAATAATATTCATACTACATTGTTTCTAGAGTGTTGTTAATCTTATCGTCATTTTCTGCAAAGCCAAGAAGTGGCATAAAATTGGAAACTAGTACATAAAGGCATTTCAGTTTAAGTAGTTGGCACTAAAACTCTGCCTAATATTGAAACTATCCAAAAATAGTTGGAATTGATATTTTCTTACAAAATACTATATTTTATACTGTAAATTTTAGTTAATTTTTACATAAATAATTATCATAATTATAAATAATCAAAAATTATGAAATCAAAAAAAAGTTGTAATTGTTTTTTTTTTAATACAAAAATTAAGAATTTGAGAAATACAAACATTCAAAAAAAAAAAAAAATTTTTATTTGATTGAAATAATCGGTTACTTGACTATTATCAAATAAATATTTACTTGAACTATTTAATTGTCTCAAATAATAATTATTTGATTCAAATAAATATTTATTTGATAATAGTCAAGTAACCGATTACTATTTGAATCAAATAAATTTTTTTTTCAGTCAAATAAAATTAGTACATACAAACATTAATGTAAATTAAAGAGAACATTTTTTTTACGAGATTGAAATTCACAACGTTTATGATTAATGATTAGGAAGCAAATTTGCTTTAAGAGGGTAAATTATTAAAAATTTTATTTAAAAATATGTTTACTGATCAATAAACATTGCAATATCTATGAGACAAAAAATTCATAGAAATTTTCATTGGAAAAAAATATTTTTTTAAAAATTGTTGACCTTGTGAACTTTATCATTGTAATTTTTTAAATAATTATTTTTTTTTATAAAATCTACAATGTTTAGGAAGTGCATGTCTCCTTAAGAATATTTCAAGTGACACGAGCTTTTTGGTAGTCGCACATTTTCATTATAAAAGTTCACACAGCTGCTCAAAGTATTTCACGACTCACTTCATGGCTTCTCTTATAATTAGGGCCATGCTTGTGTAACAGGCTTGTTATTTTTAGGATATAGAATCCGTATATAACAAATAAAATAGATAAGCGATTCTTTCATGTCCCTTATTTTGAAAAACTATTTTTTCTTTACAAAAATTTATCACAAATCTATTTTATATGTTCGTTAACTATGCAAAAACTATTTTTCAGCAAGTAATAAAAGTTATCTATATTCTTTTTTTCACTGATTTTTTTCTATATATATTATATTTTTTTTATTTAATATTAGAAATTTTTTAATAGAATTTATTGTCTTCTTTCTATACTATTACATAGTTTTTACAATATAATCCCTTATGATATTACGAAGCTTTAGTACGCAACGTTTATGATAAACAATATTTAAAGAAATAATTTTTTGAAATGAAAAATTCTAGGTATAATTTGTTTGTTTAAAAAATATTTCTTTATAATTTGTTGACTACAAGAAATATTTTTTTTTAGTGGCGATTTGAATATGAGTGTAAAAAATTTTAGAAGTGTAATATTATGGCAAAGGCTTTTAAAAATTTTGTCAAAGGCTTGAAAAGTCTTTGTGTGGAAGTAAAAGAGAAAGAGAGAGAGAGAGATGAAAAGAATATTTCGAGAATGGGACCTATAGTTTAATTGAGGAAGTGAGAATATTATATCGATGAAGAAAATAAATTTTTTAAAACGTTTCTTTAGGAGTGGAAATTAATGACATCAAATGTTTTGATATGAAATAATTTAATTTATTGTTTATAATATAAAGTCCAAATAAGTTTGTGATTTCTATATTTATATTTCACCAATATTTCAAAGTTTAAAAACGTCTGGTAATGTAATGATTACAACGTTTATATGATCAACGATTTAGAAGAAAAAAAAATTTATCTATGCAAATTATTATAATTTTTTGTCTAAAAAAATTTTTATAACATTTCTTGATCAATAATTTTTAAAAGAAAATAATATGTAGGCAAAAAATTTTATTATTTTCCAAATGAAATTTTCATCACAAACGTTGTGAATTTCACCGACGTGTTTAAAAAATAAAATCAGTTCTAGCAGAAAAATTCAGAACTAGAACTGAGCTAGAATTGATTTTATTTTTTTATACTTTATAACAGTGCGATGACATAATATATAACAAATGTTTTGCAGGCAGAAAGTTCTACTCATATATTCGAAACATAAGTTTGTTATATAATATTCAATTATTTTTTAATTTCAGAGAAAAAAAAATTATTTTCTGAAATCTCCCCATACATATAAACTAATGTTATTATAATAATTCTATATTGTATGTATGTTAATTTTTATAAATGACAAAAATTTCAATTGGGTGCTGGCGTCTTTATAAAAATAAAATACATTTTATTATATTCATGTCACTATACAAAGTTATGTAATTTTTTAAAATTATTTTCAATACATAAAATCAATTATATGAATATTATTTATAACTATACATAAAAATATAATAATATAAAAAATATGTATTTCTTTTTATTTTTTTTTAGAAAGGACAATCCATTTGATACAATGAACTTTTTTTTATGATAATTGAAAATGTTTGTTTAACCATTAGCTGGAAATTTATCTTTAAATATAGTAGTAGACACCTGTTGTTACGACACCTGATAACTGAGAGAGACTTTTAGTTATTTCCCTCTTTACCGACAACTATCTATAAATTCTTACCTATATGGAAGAATAAAGTTAAAAATTCTCTAATTGCTTTTTAGTCTAAAGAAAGTATTTTTCTTTTGGTGATCAATTTGATCAATTCTTTGAAAAAAACAGTAATTTATTGTACGATTGATCTCAAGTAAAAAGAAAAAGTAAATTATTTTATCGATTATTATTATTTTGATACTTTAAGTAGGAATGTGCCGCAAATCGAAGTCAAGCGAGCTTTTACAAAAAAATATTTTAAAACAATTTTATAAGGAAACTAATTTTTAAGTATATTTACGTTACTACGAGTCACAAATGCAAAGAATTTAAGATAAATATACGAAGCTGAAGTACGCAACGTTTATATAAACGATTTTTAAAGAAATAATTTTTTAAAATGAAAAATTCTATAATTTTTTGCCTAAAAAATATTTCTTGTAGTTTTCATATTAATCAACGAATTATAAAAAAATATTTTTTAGGCAAAAAATTATAGAATATTTCATTTTAAAAAATTATTTCTTTAAAAATCGTTTATATAAACGTTGCGTACTTCAGCTTCGTGATAAATATCGTAAAATTAATGAGATATTGGTAAAAGAAAATTGTTATACCGGGTGACTCAGAAAAATTCATTTAAACAAAAATCATTATAAATTATAATTATTTGAACGATTTTATGTGTATTAGCTATCTGTGAAACATACTATCACTAAGAATAACTAAAAATAAAAATTATTATCATTATTATTATTATTATTATTATTATTATAATTATTATTATTATTATCATTTATTTAAAATTATTAAATGAGAGTGGAAATCCATATTGGTGAGTTTGAGGTTATGTTTATCAATTTAATTAAATTTTATTTTTATAACAAACTCAAAAAATGTAAATTTAATTTCAGTATTTAAGAGCATTTGAACCTTCGTGACGTCACAAATCATGGCGCATGACACGCAAACTTCTCAGGTATGTGAAAAGCACAATTTTGAATATTTTTTAAAAAAACCTTTTGGAAAATGTTCAGAATAACATAGACTCTGTCTGTTATGTGCGAAAAATTCAAAATTTTGCGTTTAAAACGTTTTTTAAACAATGTTAAGGTCACAAATCATGGCGCATGACACGCAAACTTCTCAGGTATGTGAAAAACACAATTTTGAATATTTTTTAAAAAAACCTTTTGGAAAATGTTCAGAGAAACATAGACTATGTCTGTTATGTGCGAAAAATTCAAAATTTTGCGTATAAAACGTTTTTTAAACAATGTTTAAGTTGGTTGTCACAAGTAAGGAAAAATACACAAATTGCTTATATGTAGGCATTGTTTAAAAAACGGTTTAAACGCAAAATTTTGAATTTTCCGCACATAACAGACAGAGTCTATGTTATTCTGAACATTTTCCAAAAGGTTTTTTTAAAAAATATTCAAAATTGTGCTTTTCACATACCTGAGAAGTTTGCGTGTCATACGCCTTGATTTGTGACGTCACGAAGGTTCAAATGCTCTTAAATCTGATGAGGCCCGACGTTGACGGGCGAAAGCTCATTTAATAAGAATTTTAAAAATAAAATGTGGATTTTTACCAAAAACAAATAACATCTTGACTAAATTATGCAAATCCAAAAAAATTATCATCTATACTAAAAGTAAAATTTTTATCAAAATACATTAAGAATGATAGATTCTATCCAAATTTGAAAAAACATGAGCCAAAAGTTTTGAACGTTCAAATGAACAAAATATATTTTTTCAATCTATAAATTATTAAAAATTATAACGGCAATGTAAAATAAAACAGTAAATTAAACAATTATTAAATTAATAACTTCTTTTTAGGTATTTAAAACAATATTTTGTAATAAAATTCATACTTAAAGAAGTTGCAAAAAAAATTTTGTTCATTTGAACGTTCAAAACTTTTGCCTCATGAAAAAACGAGAAAATTTTTTAAGAAAAGTGGCAATGATGGATTTGATTGAATATTATAATGAACCTTTTTTGAATCGCGTAGTATAATCAGCAGTCTTTTATCTATGTTTTACTGTCACGTATGACATCAGATAAACAAACATGGCGTCAGAAATTATTTTATTTAAAGCTTTTGTGTATAGCAGTTTTTAAATTTCGCGCCAAATTACGTTTAATTAAAAAAATGCCATGTTTCACGGAACTTTTTGCTGAAGAAAGAGTAGTATCTTTTATTCTTCATTTATATAGTTCACTTTAAAAATCTTTTTCATACATTAATCGACGGTGAAGTATTTAAAAAAAATTGTACATTATTTTGAAGATTTAATTTATCAAAAAAATCATATTTCTAGGACTATATTTTTACTGGAAGTGTTCCAAAAAACTAAATTTATAGGTTAGGAGAGGTTAACTCCATAAGACACATTGTTAATTTAATTGCAAATATTTTCAAAATAGACGGTGAAAATTGTTTAAACTTTACAAAATTACGAAAAACCTGCCTCGGAGTGATCGTTCAAAATTCGTTTTTCATATTTCAACTAAGACGACCGAGTGATAAATTCAATTATTTATTTACAAAATTACGTCAAATTAATTCAACTTTAACATATTTCAAAAGCATAAAAAAATCTTTACTTTTTGTTATTGTACATTCCTCCTTAACTCAACGAGTCATAATAATTATTATCGTTGATTGATTTTAAATGATGCATCAATATTTTTATCAAAAAATTGGTAATATTTTTCAAGAAAAGCATTCTAGATAAAAATTTTAATTATTATTTAAATTATTTTATCGATCATTATCTTTATACTTTAACTCAACGAGTAATTCTCATTATATTATCGTTGATTGATTTCAAATAATGCATCAATATTTTTATCAAAAAATTTGATAATATTTTTTAAGAAAAGCATTCTTGATAAAAAAAAAATTTTTTTCTGCAATTAAGTTTCGTTTGTAACATTTTGAGAATAAACAAATTTTAATAAAAAAATATTTTATAATTTATTATATATTTAAAGTGGTAAAATTTTCATATTTATAACTATAGCAATATAATCCTCTCTCGCTAACGCTCGCTCGGTTGTAGTTTTACTTATTATTATTTATTTATTATAGTTAATACCCTTAATGCAGTTTTTTTTATTTATATTAAAAAACTTAGTTAATTTTATTATTTTTATAAAGTTTTAAAGTTTGCGTATATTAAAAAGACAATAAATTTTCTTTTCTATCTTCAAACATTTTTTAGAGTTATAAAAAAATTATTTATTATTTCACAAAAATTAAAAAGAAAAAAATGACTTTTCGTTGTTATTCGTGAAAAATCATGATAAAAAATTAATTTCAACAGCAAAAAAAGTTTTGCATGGGTCGTTCGTTTACAACTTTAATGTAATAAAGGATTTGTGGTTTCTTTGACAAAAAAAAAAAAAAATTCCCTAACTTTTCTAGATTTAAAAAAAATCCCTGACTTTGTGGCCATTCTATTTTATGACGATATATTTTTTGTGAAACCATGTAATGCAAACAAAAAAAAAAAAAAAAAATGGGATAGTATAATAAAAATTTCCTTAACGAAAATTTTTTTACATCTTTATATATTCAATAATCTTAAAACAGATTTCAGTACAGCCATTTTTTACAACTTAAAAGAAATGCCGATTCTTAATATACGATTAATATGTAAATTTAAAATTAATCACTGTAAAAATTAAATACTTAATTAATTTAAAACACAATATCATTATTGGAGTGTATTGAAAGCGTATATATATATATATATATTGTTAAATTTGCATATTCCTCTGATAAAATCTCTATGTACAGGGTGTGTAATATGTATATGTATAATTATTCAATTATAAGGGCGTAGAAAACGAAATTTCGTTTAGTACCAACAAAGTGTCTATATATGGTATAAAATATGTAAATTCTGAGTACGCATTTTCTCTTGTTCTTTTTATTTTTGTCTACACAATTCTGATTAGCTCAGGAATTATTTTCAAAAGTGCGTCTCATTTTTTTTTCGACATTATAATCTCCGCGTTTATTTTTCAAATCCATTTTTTTTAAAAAGAAGAACACTTTTATTCTCCATCAGGAATTATAAAAGTCACATTTTCATAATTTTTCAAAGAAAATTTTTTTTTGAAATACGTATAAGTTTTGGAATACACTCATTGAAAATTCAGTATATTTTTAAGTCTGTTTTGACTTTTAACAATAATTATAATAAGCCATTGTGGAAGTTTTGAGTTTAATTTTTTTTTTTTGAGTTAAAATTGTTTTTTTACACGTAACCACTGGCTTCAAGTTTTAGAGCAGCTTCGTATGATGGTAAGCCCTCGTCGTCGTCATCATTGTTGGTGACTTCTTTAGATTTTATATGAGCCGTATCTGATTCCGGGCAAACCGGAAGTATGTTCCCAAGACTCCTTGGTGATTCCTTCTTATCACTGGGCGAGGGTAAATTCTGGGGGTTGAAGATTAGGCTTTCATAAGCTGGAGGTGGTCCCGGTGTTACTGGACGGGGTACTGACGATAAGGTCCCTTCTTCCGTTCCGTTTAAACCTATCCCTCGCTCGTAACACTGAAAAAGAAAAGGAAAAGAGAAATAATGCATTATACCTTGTCAAAGAATCTCGGGAAAATTTTCAAATATAAACTGAAAATGATTAATTTTATATTTTATCACCAAGAAATATATTTCATTTTAAATCAAAAAATTTGTTACGAAAAAAAAATTTTTCTGAACTGCGACCATTAGACGCAAAAAAAAAATGATTATTCAATAAATATTTTTTTGAATTAAAAATTATATTTATATTATTTATTTATTAAATTAATTAAGTTAATTTATTAATTATATTATATTATGAATTATAAAATACATTTTTTAGTTATTTATTTTTATTTATTTATTAAATATAGTTATAAAGATTTTTATAATTTTACTTGTTAAAAAAAAATTGTTTTCTAGCGCAATTTTGGAAAAAAAAATTTCATATTACTTCAAATTTCGACTGAATTTAAGATAACGAAAATATTATTTTTTTATGATTGTATATAAGCAAATTTAAGAAACCTCCGCTTGTTTTTTTTTACAGTGAAATAATAATACTTTTTACATGTCCGCATATTAAACTTTCATGTTAATATTTTTTTTTCACTTGGTTTCAATTGTTTTTTTGAATTTCTCTCTCCGCACTCGTGATAATAAAAAATAATAAAAGGAACTTAATGATAACACAGAAAATTAAAAGACATTAAAATAAGCTGCAACGCTTATTATTTTAATCCAATTTTGCTTATTTTAATTCATTTTGGTATTAAAATAAGCAAAATTAGATTAAAATAATAAGCGTTGCAGCTTATTTTAATACCATATAATTTTCTGTGAACTACAAATATTTCAAGAAAACTTCTCTTGTCAAGTTGAAAGTAGTATAAAAATTTTCTAAAGTTTATTGTATATTGGAAAATTTCTACCATACAACAATCTGAAATCAGACCAAATATATAGGATCATTGCTCGCACATTTTGAAGATTAGTTACTTTAAGATTAGATTTATAAAAAGAAAAAAAAACCTCAACATAAAAGGATAAAAATATAATGATAGTGAATTGATAAAAATATTTACGACATACTGATAATTTTTATTAACAAAATAATTTCTATAACCTACATTTTCAGTTTAAACGCGTTTAGACAGATCAACGACTTTTTTTTAAAAAAAAAAAATTAGTTTGGATAATATCAAAAAAAAAAAAAATTGTCAAATTTTTTAAAAAATCCTATTTTGTGATAAAAAATTTTATAATTTTTTGCTTGAATTTTTTTAAAATCATAAACGTTATGCAAGAACTTCACTACCATGCCTAGGTCACGTCCCTTTTTATTAGAGTCATTTTATAAAAATAGTGTATCTATAGTCAAGCAGCTAAAAGTAGTTAAGGCTGTTTTATTGTTAGTCGGTTAACCTCTGTAAAATATTTAGAAAACATTTATTAAAAGGTAAATGCTCTTGAAAGAATGAAAATAAAAGTTCATTTAAATAGAGAAAAAATTATAATTAAAAAAAAAATTTATAATTTACAAAAATTTAGAAAAAAATATTTAATCTAAAATTAAGAATTTATTTATCGCATCTAAGAATATTTAAATGAAATTTATTCTTAAATTTAGTATATTTTTAGTCAAAAAAGAAAAATATATTCTAATTTTAAGAATTTATTGAATTTAAGACTAAATTATATTAAAATATTCTAAAATAGGTGTCAAGGATATAATCTTAATTTTGGAATAAATTCTTCTTAGTATAGGTACTACTATTTTAACTCTATATAAGGATCAATAAAAATCACAAGCAGAGAAAAAATAAATTTATCTCAAAGATAAATAAATACCTATTTATTCGTTTCAAATAAATTTTATTTGTTTCATATAAATTGTATTTGTTTCATATGAATTTTATTTGGTTTAAATAAAAATTTTATTTTTACAAAACAAATTTTTTATTTGAAACAATAATAAATAGCTATATAGCTTTGAGACAAATATATTTATAGTTATATTTTATTCAAATACATTATATTTAATTCGAATAAAAATATTTCTCTGTGTTTAAAAATTTATTACTGTTTCAAAATTTAGAGAGTATATATATATATATATATATTATTATAAATATTGTTTTAAAGTGTTTGTAACTACAAGTAAAATATTTTGCTCTAAGAATAATATTTTACATTATTATTGAAACATTTTTTTTTCTTACAAAAATTCAGACTTGTAATTTTAAAGGAAAAAGTGATTTTTCAAACAGTTTATCTACACTTTATACATATTTTCAAAGCTCTCGAGATAAAATCTCCATTCTTTTGCCTGGTGAATATTAACGCGATGTTCTCTCTATACAATATACGTTATACTTTGATTTTGCAATAAACAAGAATTTTGAATATATATTCCTTTCTGAATATAATTATCATGAAAATGTAATTTCTAAAGTTTATATATATTATTGTCGTTCTTGTTCAACCGTACTAATTTTAAAAGAAAATTGATTTCAAATAACTATTTTACTGAAACATAATTTTATATTTTCCTTTTTCTCCCCTTTTTTTAAATCGTATATTTAAAAAGTTATAAAATTTCAATCACATTTTAAGAAAAGTTTCTTTAAATCAAAAGGAATTCTATAGTTAATAATATAAATTAAAGATTATGATAATATTTCTCTGAATCGAAGATATATTTCTATGAATTAAAGAATATAAAAACTCTTTAAAGAAATTAAAAAAAAAAATAAGTTGACGATTTTTTATTCAAAAGATAAATAAATTTCTATCTGAAGCAAAGAAAAGAGAAAATTTTTTTTTTTAATCTAAAAAATTACTTTTTTTTATAAATTACAAATTTTGAAATATCTAGATAGTTATATATACCTATATATGTATAAAATATGTTTTTTTTCTTTTAACTTCAAAATGACGAACGAATAATAATAGTTGCGAATGTAAAGAATAGGAAATAATTTGATCTATAACTGCGCTAAAAGTTTTTAGTGTATATACTTGTTTAACACTTATTGGAGAAAGTATATGGCGAACAACCGGCATATATATATATATATATATATATATATATATATATATATAAAGAGAAGAAGTAAAATTAAAAAGTAAGTTGAAGGATTAAAATTGGAAAGCTTAGAAAGGAAAAAAAAAATGAAGAAGTTATATGGAAAAATGGGGATATATTTTACGACTGCAATCCTTTTTCGAATGGTTTGCTTACCATAGCATGAGAATCCATCGTAAAAATTTCAAGACTGTGAACATCTGGTTCAGTGCGCCAGTATTGAGAATATTCCTGCGGTCGATGCTTTCGTACATTTCTATGACAGCAGTAACAAATCAGTACGACGATCATAATCACACCGCTGAGCATGGCTCTAAGAAAGGAAAAAAAAAATAATAATAATAAAAGAATCGTTAAAAACACACTAGTTACCTGAATAATCAATAATTTGACACACGCCATTAGAGTTTATTTTTTACCAAATTTCTAACTTATTAAATTAAATAATTACTTATGTAATAAAAATTTCTTTAGGTCAGTTTTTTAAACTTTAAAAAAAGGTCTAAAATTTTTATTATTATTAATGTAATTATATAAATAATATGTTAATTTAATAATTATAAGTTGATAATATCGATCACTCCGAGTCAGGTTGAAAAAAAAGAAATTTTTTTATTCAAACTAAAAAGAAAGAATTTTTTTTTCATTCAACCAGACTTGGAATGATCGATATTACCAACTGTATTATTAAAATACCGCCGAGTAATAAATTCAAAGTATTATAATTAATATTATGTTTATAACAATAAATTTTAACTAACAATAATTTTTTAGCAATTGTAATTTTTTATTATAGTATTATAATTTTTAATTAGCGGAAAGGTAACATCGATTTAAGTAACCCAGATAGCACGTAAGCTTCAAATGTCCCACCTAACCCAAGCTTGCATGGTAAGCTTACCGAAAGATTGCAGTGTAAGATTACTGCAAGATTGTGGTGTAAGGTTACTGCAAAATTGCACAATAATATTATCGCAAGATTTCTCAGTAAGCTTGCACGGTAAGCTTGTAGCAAGGTTGGTGCAAGGTTGCCAAATAACCTTACTTTCAACCTAAAAGAATTTTTTTTTATTATATAAATAAAACGAAACAAAAAAAAATTCTTTTAGGTTCAAAGTAAGGTTATTTGGCAACCTTGCACCAACCTTGCTACAAGCTAACCGTACAAGCTTACTGAGCAGTCTTGCGATAATCTTATTGTGCAATCTTGCAGTAACCTTACAACGCAATCTTGCAGTAATCTTACACTGCAATCTTTCGGTAAGCTTACCATGCAAGCTTGCCGCTAGCTTGCTGCAAGCTTACGTGCTATGTGGGATTATATTCGAATTTAAAAAAAAATTGATTTTTTTCTTTAAATATATAGCTTATTAAGAAAATTGAGTTTAACAAAAAAAAATTGCAAGCAAGTTATTTTTTTTTATACAATATTAAATTAATTTTATATTTCAATATGTGACGCTCCACGAGAAAAGGGTTATATAAGAAAAAAAATTTGAGGTTATGTTTAGTGATAATTTTAGATATTTTTAATTATTTAAATTCAAAAAAAAAATTTGTTTAGAAATTTATATTGAACAAAGACTTTAATTTTGAATAATGATTTCGAAAAAAATGACAAACATAACCTAAATTTTTTTTTTTTTTCCCCTTTTCTCGTGGGGAGTCACATCATATAATAATGATTTTGAAATATATTTAAGTTTTTATATTGTTTTTTTCTGATTTTAGTATCCTAAAAATTTATTTCTAGCATTATTATCTGATTGTATATGTATATATATATGTACAAATGTATATTAAGTTCCTATTGGCGAAATGGTAAACACTCCCTAGGTGACCATTTCGCGAACATTCTAGTCTACTAAACTTTATGAGTATTGACGCGATAAGTAAAGGTCCTTTTTATTCAGTTATAGGAAAGAAGTGAAATATATATGAAAATTATTTTTTATAACAATTATATAATTTATAAATTAAAAATATTAAAAATAATAACAACAATAATAATAATAATAAATAATATAACATTGAAATATTAATTTATTTACTTATAAAATCACTATCCATTATTATTTGTGGGAAATTATATTCAAAACATAGGCTAAAAAAATAACAGTATAAATTTGTGAAAAGGATTGAAAGAGAGGCCTAAAGCTATTAATTTTTTCTTTGTGCTCTTTTAATTATGATGTTAACTAGCTGAGTGTAATCGGGTCAGAAGACATCAAAGAATTTTCAAATCTTTGAGTAATTTCTCAAGCGACTAATGACCGAAACTCATAATGTGCATGTGCTAAACAAAATTTACCATTTGCTTGTATTTAAATTCAAAAAAAAATTTTTAATAACTTTTTAACTTTGAATAGTATGGTTTTTAAAAATTTTTTAATTTACTTTTATAATGTGTGTGTGTATTTGGATTCTAATTCCGTTTCTATAATTAAAGTTTATAAAAAATTAATATGTTTTCTTATGTTCTTTTTTTTATATACTTTAGTACTCTTGTACGAAAGGGCATTGCCCGTATATATATGTAAATAAATAAATAAATAAATATTATAATTATTATATATTAATAAAAATCATTTTTATTTAAGGGTAAATTTTTTACAGTAATTATTAAGAAAAAATTAACATTTTAAAAATTCTTCATAAAAATATAAAAAACAGTTGAATTGGACATAATTTGTAAGAGAGTATAATAAGAAGTTGAATCATATAAAGATGTGGGGATTTTTTTTTTCCCCTTTCAAGGCGTCGATAATAATTATTTTTCATCAGAAAAACGCGAGAAATATTTAAAAATGAAAAATAAATCAACTCATGAAGTAAAGAGAAAAAAATTCTTTTTTTTTTTTTTTTTTTTTTGAGAAGTGTAAAAATCCTTGACTCTATTCAAGAGACAGGGGATTTGGGGTATTCTCACGGTTCTAAAGTATCAGGTCGAGACCCTAGATTTTACAAGTACACTTGCAACGCGTCCGCCTTTTCAAAAGAAAGTTTCATACACCTTTTTTTTGCGCAACAGTGATTATATCACAAATCGAGAAGAAGAAGAAGGGAAAAGGACTTCTTTTTCATTTGTACAAAAGTTACTTTTTAAAATCATATTTTTTAAAAAGAACAAAAAATTAAACAGAAACTTTTTCTTCTCTGTTACTTTTAAATAATAATAATAATAATAATAATAATAAAAAGAAATTCACTTTATATATATTTTTTTCTCATTGCGAGATATTTCCGTTTGACTCAATTTCTTTTTTAAATACATATAAGTAAATTAAAATTTGTCAATAAATTCTAAAACCGATCATGAGTTCACAAGGTTTATGATCAACATTATTTTTTATAGAAATATTTTTTTAATGAAAAATTCTATGATTTTTTTCAATAAAGATATTTTCTTCTTTATTGATCAATAAATTGTAAAAAACATTTTTTTAGTTTAACCTTTTTTTTTATAATTTTCCGTCTTTAAATAAATTTTTTTCCTATAATCGTTTATCATAAACGTTATGTGGATTTCAAATTATTTTAATGCCAACTAATTTGAATTAGTGAGAATTCGTTCACTAATTTAAATCAGTTATTTCTATTAATTTTTTAGTAAAACTTAAATTTTATTAAAAATTAGTGAAAATTTCTATTAATTTGAATTAGTGAACGAATTCTCACTAATTCAAATTTAGTGAAAATGCAAAAATAGAAGAAGAAACGAATTATATTTTTAGAAAGGAGGACAAATTTTTGTTCATCAAGACAAGTGCATATGAAAAAAAAAAAATAAATAAAAAATAGAAATAGAAAATATTTGAAACTCACCCTCCGAGAAGAATATTCACGTTTCCATGAAGATCGGGCTCAAAGCGACTGGATCTTCCATTCCCAATGGATGACATGTTATAACCCTGAAGAATATAGCTTAGACCGGAACCACTTGAATTATTTGAATAATATTGAGAAGAGTGCACAGCTGTTAGAACTGCAATTCTCTTCATTGACATCTTAAAAATCGAAAACTCTTTTGTTTTCATTGAACTCCTACTGAAATACTCCTTAAATCATTGACTTTTAATTTTTAATTCTTTATCTTCATTTTAAAATGTTTATTCTACTGTGCATATATAATAATTTAATTTCTTTCAATTCTATCGATAATTTTTAAATTATTATATTTTCATTTCACTATTTTTTGTCAATCATTCTCCACTGACATTTCTTCATTTTTTAATTCAGTGATTAAATATTTTAAATTTCTATTTTAGACAGTTTCACTTGATCACAGCCTATATTAAATGCAGGATGTAAAAATCCTTATACTACAGTCTACCAAGTAATACTTGAAGTATTTTAGTGCCTTAACTTATATAATTTTTGGAATCTGGAAAAAAAATTACAACAATAGTTAGAATAATTTATAAGAATATAAATATTATAATATCTATTAAATCGTATGAATTTACCATACTTAAAAATCATTAATTAAAATTTTCATTTCGAATAAAAATTTGGGAGAATTTTTTTTCAACTAATTTTGATTTAAAAAAATTTTTAGATTTTTATTTTATAAAATTTTTCTATAGCAATTTTTTAATTAAAAAAATTCTAATATTACCGAATAATGATTAATTTAGCAAAATTCTTCTTCAATTGAATTTTAAATGATTCGAATTTTTAAATTCCAGAATTTTCAATTCACCAAATCTTGTCCGACAAGTAATCGACTGAAAAATTTTGGCGCGTATTATTTAAAAATTAACCAATCACAATTTTATTCATGATTATTTTGATTGGTTAATTTTTAAATTCGCGCCGAAATATTTCAGTTGATTGTCTGTCACCGATTTACAGTTTCGGACAAAAATGAAAATTCGTGCAAATAAAAAGTCGGACATATGAAGATTCAGTGAATTGTAAATTCTGACATTTAAAAATTCGAATCACTTAAAATTCTATTGAATAAGAATTCTGCTAAATTCATATTTGCGATTAAATTAGAATTATTTAAATAATAAAAAGTTTGTTAAAGAGAAATTCTGTAAAATAAAAATTCGATATCTAAAAAATGTTGTGAAATAAAAATTCATACAATAAGAAATTCTATTAAATGCTAATTCGAAAAATGATAAGTCGCCTAAAAAATAATTATATCTAATAAAATTCTTCACAATAAAAAATCGAAACAATTGACTTTTATGGGAAATTTCTGCGCTCAATTAATTGTTATATTGGAAATTAATTAAATTAAAAATATTTCATTTTATCTACTAGATTAATAATAATATATATTTTAAAACAGAAAATTTTGATTTCAGGTGTCGCTGCTGAGTGTAATAGATTTTGGATGAGGCTATACACAGAATTGACAGAATTGACAGGTACTGAGATTTTAATTTGTACTGTCAATATTATATCGATCTTTCTATCTCTATCATAAATTAAAAAAAAATTGTTTCACTGAACTTTTCTTATCGATGATAGCATGCGTTATAGTTTTTTTTTTTTTTTTTTTTTTATTTATTTCATAATGTATATTTTGTAGTTTATATTTTATTTTTTGAATTCAGGTGAACAATACTCATGAATATTAATTTCTTCGATCGGCTTTGAAAACAGGTTGTTATTATTCATTGGCAAAGCGAAGAGTAATTTCAAATGCTTTCAGGTGAAAGAGATTATGTTGCTTATATCAATATGGTAGGTTTTTTCATTTTCTCGATTTTTGTTTTAATCTCTAAACACGCGCGCACACACACACAGCATGCAGTGAGATCACTTTAATAATTTAGAATATATTTATATACATGAAACTAATATTTTTTTCCTTTCGTAATTTTATTTGAAAAAAAGTTTGTATTAATTTTTTTTATTCGCTAAAAAATATTGTCTAGAATGTTGATGAAAAAATGAATATATTAAAAAAAAAGAAATTTTAATTTGATAATTGAGCGTAATGCAGAAACCAGTCATTCGTAAAAAAATGAGAATAAAGTTGCAAAACCATTTTGAATTTTATAATGTACTGTCTTTTAGGAAATGAAGAGGCACATCTTTTTTCCTTTGATATTTTTTTGTAGAACGAATATTTTAGGTAAAAATGACAAAAAACTATAACAATTTTCAAATTTCATTTAATTTTACCTTTTTTCTGAATTTTTATTTTCTAATAAAGTTTTATTTCTAAAAAAAAATTTTTTTTTATTAGAGTGAAAATGAATTTTATCATAAAAAAATGATTGAATTAATTACTTATTTATATATTTTATATTATATTATATATATAATATAAATAAAATTTTCATTATTAATTTTGTTTTTAAACGCAAATAAATATTATCGAATTAAATATAAAATTTAAATTTCAATTATAAAGAGAAAACATGAAATTTATCTTATTAATTTTCTTTTTCAAATTTTATAAGCTACTTAGTATTTTGCTTTGAATATATATATATATAAATTTCGACATCAAAACATTTCTGAAGATATCTTCGATAAATAACTTCAAGTTTTCATAAGCAGATTTCAGTTCGAGTTTTACAGTTAAATATTTGAGTTTGTTTATGGAAATCTTTAAGTGCTTGTTAGTTAAAATGTTTAATATTTTTTCTTTTACAACTCCTTTGTATTTCTGTATATTATTTAAAATATTAATGCATTTTCTTCTTTTTTATATAAATGGTAACCGTTATGTAATTTTTTTTAGTTTAGTATTTAACTGTTTGTAAAGTTTAAGAAAATTTTCAAATTACAACTTTTCTCATTTTTCACTTTTTCTTTTTTTTTTTTACTAAATTATGCACCAAGAAAATGTTTGGTAGTTAAAAAATTTCTTAACATTGAGAGATAAGAAAAATCGATCACTTTTGAAGTTAAATCATTGGGAAACCGTAAAATTTGACTGAAAAATGATTTTGTCTTTTTTAGTTTTAAATTGATATAAAAAAAATATTTTTTATAGTGAGATATATATATATGTATTTTTTTATGATGGTATCAAATCATGACATCAAGAAAAAAAGTAAATTTGTTTTTTTTTTAATTTTCTACTCCAATAAACGAAAAAAATTTATTTACATATTTTTTCTTGTTTTATTGTTATTGTTTTATTATTGTTGTCTAAAGAGAAAAAATGTTCTCACGTCTTTTTCAATTTAAAAAAATTCATGGAAACTGGACACGCCAGCTGTATACGTTTTACATAGAAATAATATATAAATCGATTTGAAACTTGTTACATTTTACTTTGCTTCAATAGCACGCATGATATTCAAAGTAATTGTTTCTTTTTATTTTCTGAGTGCAACAGACTCTCTTGAATAATGAGAAAAGTTGCAATTTCTGCACAACTATATACATAATATATTTTCAAAACTTTTTCGAAATTCACTTAACATATTATATTTGTTTGGAAATTATGTTATCCGTTATTATTTGCAAACAAACATATAATTGTTTTCAATTTGAAAACGCTAATTATATATTATCTGTTTTGCACTGTTCTCAAAATTCATATAAGGTAAACGTACACAATTACGGCCTAGTACGTTATTACGTGCTATTTCTTTATACTAATTGAAATAAGAAATTGATAAAATGTTTCAACAAGTGAAAAATTGCAACACAAACTTTGCTATTTATTAGATCAATATTCTGTGTTTTAATTGCATCTATTTTGTTTATGTATTGAAAATAAAAGTTTTTGTCAGTGTGTCGACGACTGAGCTTTGTGCAATACAATATACTGTAAGTGACAGCTAGGACTGAAGGTGATCTTCGTAAGGATATTAAAAGTGAAGTGTGTTTATTTTTTAATTTATTTTTTAATTTCTTGATTAATTATGATCTATTTAAATTATATTTTCTATTGCTGAATTATTTTTAAAAGTTTTCTTTATATAAAAATACTTTTTTAAATACACGGAATTATGTTCGCTCTTCTCACACGAAGTACATTATTCCGTTTGAAACACGTAAATAGGGAATTACATTGTTTTATATTATACTTATTTTAATGAATCTAATAAGAATATTAAATGTGTTTACATTTTTTAACAAAAAATGAAATTATAAATAAACAAATGAGGTAATTGCGTACTAGTATTTTATTAACCATATTTGAAATATTTTATTAGAAATTATATTAACGGAATTAGGTTCAAAACATTTTATACATACATTCATTATTCCGTGCTATACGCCGTATTTAAGTTTAAGTAAAATGGAAAAAGAGTTTGTTCACAATTCTTTAATTTTAAACTTATTAATTATCATTTCAAGAGGCAAATTTTTAAAAGTATCGTTTTTTATAAGAATTATTAGGTATTGTCACGAAAATAATTCAAGCAAAATGTGAAAAAATATCAATTAAAAATTAATCAAATGAGTGGGACAAACTGGCGCTGGCTTGATAGAGACGATATCCTCATCTACGATGCTCAAGATGTTTTAAAAAAACTGAATCCTCTAGTATTATTTGATAACCGTAAAGTATATATGTTTAATGATTTATAATATTATTTCAAAACAAGTTAATGAACAAAGCGAGTAACCGAAGAAGAAAAATAATGACTGAATATTACAAAAATTATCATTTGAATAAACATTATTTTATTTGACATCTGTGTAAAAAATTCCCTTTTAAACACAATCTTAAACTAATTTTAAGATTATGTTATTAATATTCTTATAAGAATAATTATTATCAAACAAATTGATATTTTATATATAAGTATGTGTGAAAACCTGGAATATGCCGCAATTATGGACAAGTTGGAACGGAATTAGTTACATGACAAAATTTTTAGAACGGAATTACATACAATTGAAAGGATTTAAAATATATTAAAAAATAATATAAATTTAATTTTTGAACAGATATATAAAATGAAAAATTGAAAATGATTGAATAATTTTTACAATACAATTGTTTTCTTAAATTTTAAGTTACTTGATAAAATAAGAAAAATAAAATTCTCAGGAAGGGCCTTAACATGCCGTAATTGTGTACATTTACCTTACACGATATAAATTTTTATATGTATTTCTATAGTTTATTTACATTCATATAATATATGATTTTATATATCTTTTATTTTATTTTCATCTATGTATTTTATTTTTATGTCTTTTGGTTTTTGTATCTTTTATTATAAAACTAACTATAGAGAAAAAGTATATTTGTCTTAAAAAATTTTTTTTATTTGATTCCAATAAAAAGAAAAAATTCTAAACTTTTTTTACGTATATATTTTTTATTTTTATAATAAGGAGTTTTTTAAAAAAAAATTTTAATTTAATTTAATTTAATTTTAATTTAATAGCAAATATGCTATTAAAATTTTGTCTGTGGTATGAAAATGGAATCCTTCGATTTGACTATAATTTCTTCAAATTGAAATTAATTCCTCTATTTTTAATATCAGATACTTTTTACTTGAGAGGAAAAATTTAACAAATGACAAAATTTCATTATTTTGATGAAAAGTTTTATTATTAAAATATATAATTTCCTAAAAAATTGAGTAATAGCTATAACAAAAATAATAATGACTATGAATAACCTACGATAATGTTTCGTCTATTTTAATAAAAAGTGTAAATACTTTTGTTATTTAAAAATGTATATATTATAATATTTGAGGTTATGTTTATACTTTTTTTAGAAAAACTGCATTTTTAATGTATTTTTCGAACATAGTTCTGAGTGTAATGTATCTTTTTCTAAGATCGCACTTTTGTGAGTTCCTGGTGTAATTTTGCGTCGATTGATATATTATAGACCCATTTTCATTGAAAACTCGCGTGAAGATTTAACTTTTAACATTCTTTGCTGTTTTGGACCACTGTACGACGGTATCGTGAAGTCACAACGGTACAAATAAAACGCTGTTGCCAATGAGTTTTTCATGTAAAAACAAAGATTGTTTTTAAAATCGAATTCGACATGCAGGGAAATAAAAATATAAAATGTGTTTTGTGTCACTGTGTAATAGTACTACAATTAAAACACGTGAAAAAATTGTTTTTTCCTGTGCCACAAAATGAACTTGTCAAGGGGACAATGGTTTCTAATAGCAAAACGTCTGGATGTGCAAAAAATAAACTCAAATTTTTACCGTTTTCAAGATCACTTAAATGAAAGTATTTTTATTACAAAAATTTTAATTTTCTGACGTATAGATGCAAACAAACATAAAAAATGCAACAAAAATGAAATAAAGTTGTGAACATAACCTTAAAATTAAGAAATTGAAATTAAAAACTTTATTTTCATAATCCTGACTCCAATTTACAAAGGAATTTCACTTATTCTTACAGAAATAATTTAGGAAACAATTAATTAATTTTCTTAACATTAAAAATTAATTGATTTAGAATATGTTATAAAATTTAATTGTTAAACAAGTAAACACAGCAGACGATGCGCAACAATGTACCGATGTGACGTCATGATCGAGTAACCAATAAAAATCGTTTTCTTCTGGCATCGATATATTCAAATATTTTTTAACTTTAAATTAATTTTTAAAATTTAATTAAAAAAAAACTTTCAACGCTAATATATTTTAAAATACTTATATTTATGATTTCATTAAAACAAAAAAACATTAATTTTTTGTCATGAAAACTCCTTATTATTTAATATTTAATACACATGTTTTATACTATTTTCTATTTATATGATTAAATATTCTTTAAGAAATATTTAATCAAGAGAAGGGTGCCTAATATTCAAGTGGTCTAAATCAAATGAAAAAAGTGTACATTTTCCAAATTTTGCAAGTCACAATCACAAGCAGTGTAAATGACGTTTGAAATGATTCGACCGTTTGCGTCTTGGCCTTGGTCTCTATTTTATTAATAAATGAAAAAAGTAGTTCACCCCGATTAGTTGCGGTTGGTACACGTAATATCGCGAACTTGGACATATACGATCAAAACTACCCTGGACATTTAAAAGCGTCTCTCTTTATTTTTCTTTTTTACTATTTTTCCTTTTTTTTGTTTGCACTGAAATCTTTTTCGTGTCCACTAACATTTAAATGCATTCTTTTATATCGTAACGTATAAATTTACTTGTAAAATATTGTTTATGGCTGTTGTTGCATTGCTTATCAGTAGAATCATCTATTCACCATTTCTTCACTACCATGCGATTTCGTACCATCAAAAGGTATTTTTTTTTCCATATTACTATAGCAAATATTTTATTGCCCTTTACAAAAAAGAAAATTTCAGTAATAACTTTAAAAAAAATTTCTTTTTTTATATTAAAGAAAAAAATTAAAGAAATTTGTTTTTAGAAAGCTCAGAACATAATACAACAAGTGTATTATAGAGCTTGAACATTAGAAACATGATATGTAGATGGAAAGGCGAGAAGATTTTTATAACAAGGATTTATTTTTACGAAAATATTGGCCAACACTGAAAGCCTTGATGAATGTAAACACTGATACAGGAGATGTTCTGATACATAAAAAAAAGACACAAAAAGGACCAAAAAAAAAAGAAAAAAACACAATATATAGAAAGAAACAGGAGGATAAATTTAGAATTTGACAAATTTCCCTAGAAAAGTTCAATAGGAAATCGATACCACTGCTTTTTAACTATTACACTCCTTATGATTTTCCAGACGAAATTGTGTTTCTCATACATATTTATCCGTTCCAATTAGATTTTTTTTTATCAATCTCACTCTTTCTGGCGTATAATGGATGCAAGAATATCATGCTTCCTGAAGCATTCACTTTTTTTTCTTGTTTTTTTTTTAATGCTATTCACTCTTTTCCTCAACTATTTTTCAGTTCAGTATATATTACGTATTCAACAACATACATAAATATTATTGTTGTTGTTTATTCATTTACATATATATATATATATAAACAGTCTTTTGTTTACATAAAAAACACCCTCATTTAAAAAAAAAAAATTAAGAAATTAAAAAAATAAATAGAAACAAATGACACGAATTATTTTATTGTTATTCTATAAATTTGAGGTCCTTAAAAAGACGATGCTGAAGTCCACAATATTTATGAAAATTACAAAAAGAAATTACCTTTTTAATACAAAAAATTACTTATACAATTTTTTTTATTAAAAAAATTTGTTTTTATAATTTTTGATTAATAAACATTGCAAAAAATGTCTTTGAGATGAAAATTCATAGGATTTTTTTTAATCAAAAAATTATATTTCTTTAAAAATTGTTGATCATAATTGTTGTTAACTTCAGTATTGTAAAAAAAAATTAAATTTTTTTTTCAAAAAACAATTGTTTTTTTAATATCAACTTTTATAAATTTTTTAATTTTTATAATTTCTTCGTTATTTATTTATTAATATATTTATATTAATATGTATTTTATTATTATTACTATTATTATTATTATTAAATAATTAGAGATGGTAAAATATTATGTTAATTAAATTTCGGATATTTAAAAAATAAATTTGTAAATTCATCAAATTTAATAAGGATTCATATGTGAATCGATACATGCCGTTTTATTTTGAAATAAAACAACCTATATACATATTCTATATTTACGAAATAACCATTTAAAGCTTTGTAAAAAAAAGTGTACTACGTAGAAAAAGAAAACGGATATAAAAATAATAATCAATATTAGAAAATAATTTCTTTAATTTGTACAGGTTATTCAAATTTTTTCAGTATTTACTAAAAATGTAAATTAATATTCTAATATTATTGTTACTAATATTATTATTATTATTATTAATATACTAATATACTTAATATTATTTATATTATATTATTAATATTTATTAATATTAAATAAATATAAAAATGTAACACAAATATTTTTATTCAAGAATGGAAATACATAACACAAGGTTAGTGTTTATTATAATAATTATGAAATATCAAATTGAAAATAAGAATCACCGGCGAATTGTAAATACCGTTATTTAAAATATTATATTTATATATTGTTTATAGATTTCATATTCAAAAGAATTTCTGCCGAGAAATCGAAAACCTTTTTTTGTTAAAACAAAGAAACAAAAATTATTTTAAATGACCAAAGAAAGGAAAAAATTGACCAATAAATTATTATTATTATTATTACATACACTGGTCGAAAACTTACAACATCATATCAATTAAATAAATATTTATTTGCCAAATAGTCAAGTAACAGATTATTTGAATTTTTTTTCAGTGTACATTATTATTTAATATTGTTTATTAATATTTATATTCGAAACTATCTATTGAAAATAATTATGCATCGTTTAAAAAACAATTTGAAATACACTGGTACCAATTTATTTAATTCAAAACTGGAAAACAATTTTTGAAATTCAGTGAGACCTCAATTATTGAGACGCACACATACACTTATCTCAGAATTGAAGTTTCAGTGTATGTGTGATAATGAATTTTTTTTTTTTTAAATATAAATAAACTTACCTTTTATGACTTTCTTCCTTTGATAAAAATCGACATTAACACACTATTAATTGCATTTCAATATTATTACACATACGAAACATTGTCACTGTGAATATAATTCACGTGTTTGATAATCAGCATGTTGAATGAAATCATAATTTGATATTGCAAGTTTTGACACCGTATCATGTAATATAATGATGTTCACCCCATATTAAAAGGGGAGAATAAAGTCAGTCGTACATTTCTTTGGGCAATAATAAGAGAAAGAGAAAGAGAGAGAGAAAAACTTTGAAATGGGGAGAAATAGTATGTTGGGTCAGGAAGGAGGGAAGGACAACCTGTGTGAGCTTGATACCGTATCGCTAGAGACTGTGGTCATTGCGCGTTGCTTGGCTACACTCGACATGACTACAGACACTACCAACCAACGAATCTACCAACCAACCACCACCCCCCTTTACTCCCTCGCTCGCTTCCTACTAACAGGACTTGCGTCATGGTTTCAAAACCGCCTTACCTAACACCCCTTCTCCTCAAAAACTACCTTTATATATATACATATACATATATACCATTCCTATCTATATTACTCCAAATTGTCATTTATTCAATTTCTGCATGATGATGTTGATGATGATGAGGAAAAGGAAGTCGATGAAATTTATTTCCTGTTTCACTCATCAGGATATGTCCGTGTGTGTGTGTGTGTGTTGAACTGAGCGCGTCTTGGGATTTTCGATTAGCTCATACGACTATCTCCTAAATACTATATATATAGCGAAAGCATGCTAATGATTGTGAGTGGGAATGAGGTGGTAGGAATTTAGGTTGTAGCGAGCTTTCTTGGTTAAGGGTCCTTTATGAGGGTTCAAATGAAGAGGGTACTAAAGCTTTAATGTTGCTTTGCGGTCCGCTTCATTTACGGGCCTGATTGTCCTTTGGAATTTATATATTAAGATCAAGTGTATATTTGTTTTGGTAAAAATAGTTGCGCATAAAAATTCATCCACCTTTGTGGATTGTATTTGCAGAAGCATTTATATATAAAATATTGAAATTTTAAGATATATTTATAAAACACGAGACAAAATCGACATCGCGGACGAGAAAAGGTGTCACTTAAAAAGAAAATATGCATGTCAAATATATTTTTAACAAAGTAAAAGTATACACTCGTAATTGTGTTTTCCATTAATGTTTCTAGCCGAATTTTTATTTATTCGAATTATTATTTTGCAAAAATTTTCATTAAACCAATTTTCTATATTATAGAATTTTTATTTCCTCGAATTTATACTTAAGAATGTTGAATGATCGCTGAAATTATTTGGTAAAAAATTACCATTAATTATTGCCCTATAAAAATAGCACACTGAACGTGAAAATAATAGACATTGATTTCAAAATAATTTTTTTCTCGAAACACGAACACTTATTTACACAATCGGCCAACGTTCCAAGAATCCTTATTCTATAAATTTCGTAAATCCGAAAGATTGTGCGAAACCATGTAAAAACGCAATTGCAAAATAAAAACTAGGAAAGTAATATAATGACAGGTACATTACGTCCTGTCGCCGTCAGATGGCAGAAGCATGCAGGGAGCACAAAATTGCAATTGTATATTATTCTCCTTTTTACAATTTTTCAATCGTTTTTTTTTTGGATGGATTTGGACAATCTTTCGGATTTAGAAGAATTTATAAGACAAGAATCTTTGGTACGTTGGCCGATTTTTGAGTGACAGTGTTTCGAGAAATATTATTTTGAAATCAATGTTTATCATTTTATATGTCAATAATTAAAGGTCTCTTTTTTCCAAAAAAATTTTAGCGACCGCTCAACATTCTTTAATATAAATTCGAGCAAATAAAAATTCTGTGAAGTGAATTTTCGGTTATATCAAAATTCAGTAATATAAAAAATCGGTTTAATAAAAATTCTGCAAAATATTAATTCGAAAAAACAAAAAATTCGGTTCAATGAAAATTATATCTAATGAAATGAAATAGAAGAATTCTGTTTTACTTAACAATAATTTCTAGTTAAACTGATCGAAAATTTAACCAGATTTTCTAATATTTCTAACCAGAAAAAATTATTAAGAGTATATTTAACATTTTAATCTAATTTAACTAACCAGAATTCTAGTTATTCTAACCACACATTTTTTTCATTGAACTTTATAAAAAAAATATTCATTTTTTTAAACAAACTACTCAATAAAGGTTTGTTATATTTATCCTGCAATCTGCCCTCGTAAAAATACACACGCTCTCAATGTAAAAAAAATTTTGTAAAATTTAAGGGTGAGATACATTTTCTCGTAAATCTTTAGATTTTTGTTGATTACGCCGCGTACAGTAAACTAATTTGCCAAAAAAACGTGATTAAAACCTCAAAAATGATTACAAATCGGCAGTCAGATTTTCAAAATTTTAAATGACGGATTGAAAATGGTGGACGCATTTTTAAAAATTTGTTTTTTCATATTACAAAATTTTTACTTAATCAAAAATTCATTTAACAGAATTTCTATTTGATCGAATTTTTATTTGACAAAACTTTCATTTGTTTGAATAAACATTCGGCAGAAAGTTTTGAGCGCGAATTTTAAAATTAACCAATCAGAAATTACCTAGAAAATTTTGATTGGTTAATTTTAAAATTTGCAACGAAACATTTTTTGCTGAATGTTTATTAAAACAAATGAAGGTTCTGTTAAATGAAAATTCAATTAAATAGAAATTCTGTTGAATAAATTTTTGTTGAAATAAAAATTCTGACAAATAAAAATTCTGTGAAGTAAATGTTTGATTATATAAAAATTCATTTAAATATAGAAAATCGGTTGTAAATTTATCGTAGTTTGAAAAATTTTCTGCAATAATCCATAAAAAAAAGTTATATATTACTAAAACCACATCAAGTAAAAGACAGCCAAATTTCAATTTCTTTTTTTCAATATTGAAGGAATAAACCTGTAAAAATTTTATAGCAAAATACATTCGAAACATTTTTTTTATAAATATGATTTTTTTCAAAATTTTTATTAATTTTTGGAATATGGATCATATTCTATACGCGAAGCAGACAACTCCGATTTTGGTTTGCTTTAAATATTATTTTTTAATATAAATCCATTAAACGAAGGAAAGTATATGTGAGAATTTTGTAGTTTAATGATGTTTTACGTCATATGGTATTAATTTTTAAGATTAAATTAATTTTCACTTTAAAAATAGAAATACTTCGACCATTTTTAAAATATTTTAAAATATCTTAAAAAATTTCTTTAATTGTGTACCTATAGATTATTTTTACCAAATTGTAGAATAGCATCTTTAATTGTTTTGGTTTGGTTCAAGCACGTAGAATGCCCCATATATTGTGTGTTACAAATAAATTTTTATTTAATGAGTATAGATTATACTTTTTTAGTGAAAATTTTAATAGGTATATATTTAAATTTATTTGAAAAAAAATCTTTCAAATTTATTGCTTTAATAAAAATCGATAAAGAAATATATGTGTATGATTATTGTTCAATTGCGGTAACTAGTATACCTGTACATATTTACACACAATGTAGGTATATATACATTATATCACAAACTGCATAATGATCTTCCGAAAACTCAATATTTCATGCATTGCCTAAAGTAGTTCGGCTTTTATATGACTAGGCAGGCATTCTATAGAATTGTTGAATTATTCAGACATATAATTCTTTGCTAAAAAAATTTATATATATATATATATATATATATATATAATATATATTTTTTTTATGTATACAAACTATTTTTATTCACTATGGCAACGAAAAAATTTGCAAACAAACTTTTTTTGATCCTACAGCAAATTTGTTCGCTGTCCCTATATTAGCTAACGAAATTTGATGTGACAGCAAATAGTTCGTTGCCTACTTTTTTTATGTGTGTATAATTTCAACAAAATAATTCACAGAAAACCGAAAAAGTTTAGAGAATTGTGAAAAATAATAATACTGACACTCAGGAAAAAATTGTTTCAAACATTTTGGTTGGATTTTAGTTGAATCAATGAAAAGTTTTTTTTGGGTCAATTAAATTCTTTCTTCCTGCGAAAAATTAATTAAAATAAATCAAACGTTTATTTAGATCAAATAAAAAATTTATTTGTATCAGTCAAATTTTGTTTGAATTAAAAAAAAATTGTGTTAATACAAAAAGATGGTATATTTGGTGCAAACAAAACTTTTCTTTGAGTGTATATATTATATTCTTGATAGCAAGTATTTTTTTTACACACAAATTGACAGAAAAAAATAAACTTGAAGTTAATTTGCGTTGCAGAGAAAATCAAAAGATAAAATTTATTTGAACAATTCACCTAGATTTGTAAAAATATAGAGGTCATCCATAAAAAGCATGATGTGATATATACTATTTAGGGGGTGTCAGCAAAATATTTCGCTCCATGTTATGCAATAATTAGGGCAGGGAGGTGTTGAATTTCCAAAAATATGTATCACATATATGAGGCATTTTACGTGTAATGTACTGAGTTAAAAAATTGATTTCTCGAAAAAAAGTGAAACTTGGAGAAATTGTTGTCCTACCTGATAGTAAAATATCCACAAAAAAATTTTTGACTTTTTTGAAATTTTGGGAGAGATAAAGGAGGGGGGGGTTAATTTTATCAGTTTTCCCTGACACCGCCTACTATTTGAATTTTTTCTGTCTATTAATGCAATAAAAAAAATTTTTTAACTCAGGACATTACACATAAAATGCCTCATATATGCTTTATATGTACAAAAAAAGTGAATAACTCATTTTCGATAATGAAAAAAAGAACTATATAACCGATTTTTAATTTTTACTTCGAAAGTAGACAAAAAAATTATATCTTTTGTTCTTCTTGTGTTAATTACTTTTTATACTTATACATTTTTTTCCATAATTTTCCTTTGTTAAATTTTTTGATCTTTGCAAAGAGATTATAAAATTAAATACAACTTCCAAACATTATTTTCAAAGCGACTGTATCTATCTCTTAAATGAATCTTTCTATTCAAGTACCTATATATATATATATATATATATATATATATATATATATATACTCTCGGGATAGGAAAGTTTCTTGTAATGAATTAAACTAAACTGTTTATTCGGAAGGTTTGTGTTATTTTTATTTTTTGCATCCGAAAAATCATTTAAAAATTTTATAATTTAAACAGTAATTCAATTTTTTTATTAAAAACAAATAACCATACACTAAAAAAAAAATTATTATTTAAAACAACCAAATAAAACCAAACTTTTGGTTGAATCAATAAAAAGTTTATTCAGTTCAATCAAATTCTTTCTTCCTTCGAAAAATTAATTAAAATAAACCAAACGTTTATTTAGATCAATTAAATATTTATTTTAATAAAACAAATTTTTTGTCAATCAAATAACCAATTAAACAAATAATCG